AGGTACTGGGTGCTGTAGTGTTGTGGAGTCTGATGGCTGATCGAACGAGCCTCTGAACAGCTTTGAGGCTCAGGGCTGGGTCAGTCTGTGGCTGAAGGTGCTCCTGAGCTGCCTCAGCTCAGTGTAGAGAGGATGAGAGGGGTTGTCCATGATGGCTTTCAGCTTCTCTCTCATCCTTTTCTCAGTCACATAAAAGCTTCAGCTAAATAAATGTAATGTAATGTAATGCAGGTCAGTAAACTAACATATATACTAGGGTCTGCTGCTAAGAGGTTATTTTTTATAATTTTCTCAGAGAAATCTTGTTTATAATAAAGGTCAGACAGGTAACCTTTCCAGCATCTCAGATCAAGATGGCAGCAGCCGTCCTAAATGATCAATGCACTAGTTGAAAATGTAATTCAAGTCTATCTGAAAAATACAAACAGGTTTACTGAAAGGCAGTTATATAGAAACATGCAGTTAATCTGATGAACACATAGGTGTGCAATAGGATAATCATTTTTAAATGTACAAATTGATGTAGTGTGTCTTACTATTGCAACTGTTCAAATACTAAATGCCATCTGAATATTAGCCATAAATTAAGAGATGAGTTTAAAGAATTTCTTTCTAACATTTTAATATTCTTAGCAAATGTGCAAACTTATACATATTTAAATTTTCAATCTGGGATGGAAAATGAAAAGAATATTTTGAAACTGTATTTTTTTATTTCCAGTTTGTATGAATATTTTAAATGGGCTAACTTCACTCATCCATAAATTAAGATCCATAGTTGCTCCTTCCCAGTGCCCTCATGAAATATTCATGAGTGCATGCAACATGTGTGTCTTCAATCAAGTAGACGTACATGACACATACTGGTGTTGTAGACTCTCTAGCTTTCATACAATTTTGGTTTGGTATGATTCTGTCATGTCAAGGACACTGACACACACACTTGAACTGAAATGTGCACACACACACACACACACACACACACACACACACACACACACACACACACACACACACACACACAGAGTTTTGACAGTACAATGAACCGACAAGTACATTCAAAGTCACAACCTTTATTGTACTCTTCTGACCAGTGCAGTTACAGACACAGCTCACTTGGTTCTGTAGGCAGTGCTCCAAATCCTCTCAGTAAAATTAGGCATCTTATTTTCTCTTTTGTTCTCAGTTCTCCCTCTCTTTTGTCTTCGCTCTCGTCAGCTTTTATCTCGTACAGCCTCTCATTTCTCTCAAATCCTCTTTTCTCCTTTTCTCTTCCCTGTCTCTGTTGTCTTCGTTAGTCTGTCTCACATTGTAGTGAAACAAGTTCCACTCTGATCCAGAACTCCACCACGGGCTGAATTCATCGGCTTATCCAGTGTGTATGTGTGTGTGTGTGTGTGTGTGTGTGTGTGTGTGTGTGTGTGTGTGTGTGTGTGTGTGTGTGTGTGTGCATGTGTGTATGAGCGGAGAGAAGCAAATTTGTGAGAGAAAAGTGTGTTGCAAAAATGGAAAGCAGAGGAGGAGTGAGAGGAAATTTGTGTACGTGACCTCCTTTCCTGGCTGCCTGACAGAGTGGGTAGAGTGCTTGGATTGGGTGGTCGTTGCAAAGCACTCAGCCATCCATCGACCGACAGCCATTGATCTGCAAAGTCCAATGACTCACTAGCTTCTCAAAATGCAACCCACACAGGAATACATGCAAACGTGACTGCTGTGTGTAAACAAGTGCACATGCACATACTGACAGGAAGGCCTGTAGCTGTAATTACTGATTAATGTAATTACAGTCTACATATCAAATGAGTATAATTGGTTCAGAATTTTTAAACAGGGTTACTCTTTCAGAGATTACAGTTAATGCTGAATACTAACCCTAACACACACATAATAATTAAGAAAGAAATATTGGAAACTAAAAGAGGAATCAAAATACTGGCTCTGCATTACTGAAGACATTTCTGTTCTCAGGGACTGTATGCACATTAATAGAGGGGAGGAGGGGTCAGAAAAAGTTTATGTGAGGGTTATGCCTGTACTTGTTTTGCTGAAGGGAGGGTAGGCTAACTTATTTAGGGTAGAGAGTAGAAGAAGGTTGTTTGAATCTTTCTCATCCCGGATTTATATCTTATTTCAGCTGTCCCTTGTGAGATTTAATTATATGGAAAAAATCTAATTCTGGTAATATGCAACACAGGTAAGGTGCTCTTTGGCCATATGTATTAGGGCTTTATTTTTCCTGTCCCAATCAGCAGCCTGTTCCCTGTTCTCTCTGGCTGTGATAACTGTTTATTTAGCAGCTCTTTACGGCTCCATTCACCATTTAGTTATGCCAAGGCCAATGCAGTGGTCCAATATTTCTGCACTCAAGCTTCAACTCCTATCACCACCACAATAATGTTCGTACAATGCCTTATTTCTTTCTACAGTATAATACTATATTACACAAGATTTTATTTTAAGATAGTGAACCATCATTCATCATGAATGAAAACGTGCATTCACCTACTAATCTTAAATAATATTAACAAATAAACATGTTGCATGAACAGTTCTTGCCTTACATTTCAACAACAAATATTAAGAATAAAAACAATGTATGTGGTCTCCAAACGTGTTAAATCTTGAACACAAAAGGCACTAAATTGAATCTTATCCAGGTTTCAACAGCATAATAAGCTCAAAATTTGTCAAAACAAGCCAACAAAATAAGGAGTCACTTCCCTCATTAACACACAAACAGGGTTATGGTATTGTTTTTCCTCTTCTTTCCTCTTTCCATAGCACTGTTCAGTCCAAAGCCCTTAATCCAAGACTATGGTAATGACTGTATTTTTCATCTGAGTGTATGCCATGGTGATTTGTATTTTAAACCCCATGATAAAGACTAAAGCGGAAACTCTCACTCTGGGGTTTTTAACCTTTTTATCCAATTCAACGAGCAAATCCACAGATTACAGCCTTTTAAGCTTTCTTCATGAAGACTGCACTGGGTTGCTCCTCTTCGCTCGACATCTGAGTAAATCTGAAAATCTGTCAACTGAAAATAAAGTGTGTAACATGTCAGAGCCCTTATACTTTACTTACTTTACCAATGTTACTAGACAATTTACATTACAGTATTTTAAGGCCCTTTTTGTTGCTGTAGTAGATCCAAAATTGCTCGGTTCAAGGCTCTGACCTCCACAATAAAAGTACAGTGGAAGCAAAGAGAAAGTGCACCACTTGTAGGAGGGTTTCATAACTACAGTTGTTTTCCTAAAACATGTTTTAAAAAGGATATTTTATTCACCCAAGCACCCAGGAAATTACATGGTGGCATCCGTCCACTTAAAACACTCATATAAAAACAAATATTTCACAGCTACCTGCAATATATCGCATAAAACACACAAACTGCCCACACACAAGCGACCAGTCTTGCAAATCAATAAATTGTACAGTCAGGGGGTGCTGAAGGCTTTCATTATAGATCTGAAAGCTGGTAGTTGCTGAGCATTGCACAACTGGGCCAATGGCACTTCACTTAACATTTATTCTGTGACCCCATTCACACCTGGCAGTGCAGTCTAATTTTAAACAAAGGAAACACATGCTCTGTGTCACACAGTACAAAAGCTACTTTACAATCTCATGTGGGTTCCTTGCTAACTTTAATTGTTTACCCCGTTGATAATTAAATGGGATGTGTCAAGGTGATAGTTGAGAGCAGGGAATTAGTGTGTTGTCAGTTTAGCGCTACTAATGTCAAATATAATTTGGTAGTAAAGTAATCAGTGCAGATCAGATAAGGATTATGATATGAAAGCATCAATGGGAGCAAAAAAGTCATCAATAACTGTGGGAATCAGGTATCATAAACCACATTACAAAAAATCTATATATATGCTTTCATATGTATGTTTTCCTGGATTGGTCATTTGAAAAGATCTCCCAGAGTTAGATACACATATCAGTTCAATATGCTAACATATGATTTAAAGCAATAAACCAGCTTATCTGTCATACGTTATAAATAAACTGACTGCTCTAAAATACAATTTATCTGACTCCAGTGGCATTTATGAAACAGCACTCATACACACAAGCTGCCCTCCCCAGAATAATTTCCCACCATCAAATTTACTAACTGTTAAGCTAATCTTAAACTACCAGGTGAAACCAGAAGAAGTTTGATTGAGTATTGAATCATCATTCATTTCTTACTCATTGTTTGGAATATTAAATTAATTAAATGTAATTACCTCATCTCAAAACATTAAAACTCAGCCGTCTCTACAAAAAACAACGTAATCGACATTTTGTTTCCATATAAAATCAGAAAACAGATTACAAGCAGTGCGCAGCGGCTCTTTCTCTACGTTTAAGATTGATCGTGTTATGGAAAGAATGTCACAAGATTAATAAAGCCACTTTAATTACACAAAAGGTGGCCTATATATATGTATCAGCTTAAAATCACTTCGATCAACTGAGTGCTCATAAACACATTAAAGTGCTTTAAAAAAGTCAGAACTTGTTAATAAGGTCAGAGAATAAACATTTTGAGTACCACCTAAACTTGCCTATTTCTAGGAGGTATTTAATATATCTTTGAGTCGTAAATATACAGTAACAGTGAGCCTGACAAAAGTTAATATAACACAGAAGCAAGGTTATTATATTTTAATAAAACTAAACAATAAAAAAAAAAAAAAAATTGTTTTAGTAATTAAAAAACAAAACTAGACTTTGGAACAAAAATCAAAACCAACTGAAACTATATTGTAGTTACAAAACCATCTAAAACAAAATAAAAATACAGGAATGTCTTTAGTTTTCTTTGTCAAATACCTCTATATTATAATAAACAAAAAATTAATACTGAAACTAATAAAAACTAAACTAAGACCACATACCCTCTCTGGAAACTAACTGAAACTGAACTGGAAACCAAAGTTAAAAACTAAAAATTAATAAAGATACAAAACTATAATAACTTTGCACACACGGACAGGAGTATATACAGATCATTGAGGTTTTTAATAATCATCAACACATTTATGTACAAAGCAAGCGATGTCATACTCAAATGACCAAAAAAAAAAAAAAAAAAAAAAAAGGAATCCTAAAATGCATTTTCTTCTTTTTTTTTCTTCTGTCATTAAAATAGCTAAAGATTATCTGAGGGAATCAATTAAACAGTTCAACACTTTTGGTACAGAGTCAGTATAATTACAGTTTGACAAAACCTTCACGGATTACCTTCCACAGTTAAACAGGCCTGGGCATGGGAGGTTGACGATGGATCCAAAATTATTTCCCTCTCCAATGACAATAAATGAGTTATGAGTGCAAGATTCCTTAAAAACCTCATCCCTGCCAGTTTTCCCAAAAGCACCAATTTTGTTTTTGTTCTTCAGTTATCCAATGGAACAAAAGCATTCTGGGAAATACAAATTACCCAGACGCAGCTCACACAGAAGACCTTCAATGGGCCAGGGAAATGTATCAGTGGATTAATTGAAAAGGGTTTGTTGGGTTTCTTGTTATGTTTGCAATTTACTACACAATCTGCTATCCATAACTATTCTTTCCTATTTGCCATCGCTGTGAGATGTGTAAATTTAATGTCGTTTTAGTTCTTTCTTCAAAAAAGCATCTTGAAACAAAGAACCTGATTGTCTAATGCACACAACTTTTAACGATGTCACAGTTTGGGATTTAGTATAAACTTTCTTCATTCACCCCCAGCTCATTAAGTGAATTAGTGAAGCGTTCTCCATGTGTGCCTCTAAAAAGAAAGCCAGCGACAAAAATGACGTTTTAGTAGTATAAACAGCAACAGAAGGGCAAAAGTGTATTTTTTTTTAAATGCCAATTGTTTATCATGTATTCAGTCACACAGTGAAATAGAAATGTAATAATTACTTCTACTTATAGTGTGAAGTTTAAGGGAAGTGGCATGTTCATCCCTCATGTTTTATGAGAAGAACAAAAAAATTATGCATTGATGTTAATTAAGCTTTGTGGTTCAAGGTCCAATTAATTAGATCAGCATTTATCTCAATCTGGGATTATGGTAGGTTCTGTTCTGTTGGCAAGGTCCAATATCTGGGATCTCTAAGACAGCGATCAACCCAATTCGCAAATCCCAGGACGTACTAATGGTACAGTTTTTGTGCATTTTAAATTATATCATATATAAACACACTTTAGGATATTGGTGTTAAAACTGTGGCAGATGAAATGTCCATTTAAATCTACAGCAAAGTGGTTTCCAAGTTGAACAACCCAACAAAGCCCAATGAAAGATTAGTTTGGTGCCATTTAAAATGGAGGGGGGGAAATCACACCCAGGGCAGTTCTAATTGAATTTCACTGTGTTTTGTGAATATAGGTGATAATATTTGTCATAGTCAAAATTCAAACCTTATTTTTGCAGCCATTATATTTAGTTATTCCCTTCCTTCAAAATAATCCAATCTTGCACCCTGTTCCAGGATTCACAACATGTGGTCACTCTGTGAAAGAATCACGTGAGGATCTACCAAAACTTCGTCTGCATTATTAGTTTATAAAACCAGGGACTAGGAATAACTGAGGGAAATACAGCAGAACAAGGAAGCAGTTTCCACTTAACATCCTTTAAGAAAGCATAAAAGTAAAACAAATTTAGAGAAACTAATCTTTTACAAAAACACTTGCGCCACTAGTTAGTTTGGTTTCTTTTCCTCTTCAGTCTTTACAACAGTGACTGCTTAAATGAGCAGCAACACTGAGGAGTTGTTGGTGAAAGTCACTATATACACATACACACACAATTCACACTCACTATACAGTCATACAACTGTGCACACATGTCAGTGTGCCCAGTTTTCTCAGTGGTATCACAGGTGACAGTCTGCCAGTCTCTCTATCTCTCACACAAACAGAAACAAACTGGTGAGCTGAGTTGGGCCGGTGCGCCTATATTGTAACTGTGACAACTAGGGTGGTCTTCTTGGTGGTTTATGAGGCTCAGTCAGGTCATCTGGCTGCCAAAGGGAACTGTGGGAAAGGTAGGTCCTCCTATAAAGCTTTTTTTTTTTCTTTCTTTTTTTCTTTTTTTTTTCTTTACATTTTCCTTAAGTCCTTCCAGGGAGTGGCTGTGTGTAGACAAAGAGAGAGACAAAAGGTCAGCTTCGATCGAACATTTTGTCTCATTTGTTTGTATTTATCAGAGACAAACTCATCAGTTAATGCTTACAGAAAACAACATTAGGCTGCATAACTATGACATAATATGTAGAGGAACAATTCAGTCAGAGCACAATTGAAGCAAGAGCAAATTGAGTGAATCACCATTGATCACCTGTCTCACTAGTAGAGGTCTGTCTGGTTAACATGCTAATACTTTGGAATGCTACGTTTTCAGAAATAGTGAGAGTAATTACCATAAAAATAAAAACGACAAGTTGCAGCCATTGTAATGCTAGTTAAACATGCAGAACTACCATTACATTACATCATCTTCCTCTCAGGTATCAGGTAAATTGGTCAACAGGTCAAAGAGTTGGTGTTGGTCCTTAAAGGACCAGTGTGTAGGATTTAGTGGCATGTAGCATCATCGGTAAAGTTTCAGATTGCAACTAACTGAACACCACTCAGTGTCAGGATTTGACAACCTTGGATTGAGAAGCGCTATGAAGTGTGTAAGGAGAAACTACAGTGGTTGCAAAACTTGAGAAAAACACAAAAGACCCAATCCGCAGGCAATGTTTGGTTGGTCCATTCAAGGCTACTGTAGAAACATGGCGCACTTCATGAAAAGCTACTCACGGCGTCTATAGATTAAAAACAGCTCATTCCAAGGTTACTAAAACACAATTCCTATATTCAGATGATTATAAATTAATCAAAACATACCTCTGAATATTATTCTATTTCTGCCAATAGATGTTACACACTTGACCTTTAAAATAGTGAAAATGTATGTGAAAACTGAACGGGGTAAAGAGAAACCCGTCTCAAACAATGAACTGGTTGATTGTATTTTAATCGGTCACAGATAAATGACTTAATTAATCAAATATAAATGAAGAATGTAGGGAGAGGAATAGATAACTGAAAAGGCGATAACAGTGGGAGTGCTAAGCCAAAGTGAAAGGCTATGACTGAAAGAGAATATTTCAAATCAATAATTAAAATACCCAATGCCCACAATGGAATTAAGTTAAATTAATATAAATGACATAACACTTATATAAGGACAAGGACGCAGACTGACAAAGAAATGGAAGAATAAAGATTGAAAATCTTACCATGAGGGCTTGTTGGTTTTAGCTTTCATCATCTGAGACATGAGGTTTAGCAATGGCCATCTCCTCCTTGCTATTTGCAATCATCTTACACTTCTACAAAAACACACAAAAAACCAAATCAGTTACTATGAGTTGGCACAGTTGCAAAAACAACTACTCACTCTGCGACATTTATCAGGCAAACACGTACACATACTGTACAATCACTCCTCCAACCCCCAATTTACCTCAGTAAGCTCCTTGATGGTGTGTATGTTAGCTTGCTGAGTGACCTTCCGCTTTGCTTCCTCGATGTGGTCCAAGTTAAGGGTTGGCGTTGGTGGGGCGAGGCACGGGGGAGGCTTGTTTGTGATGGTAGGAAGTGGAGCAAGAGGAGGCATGGCAGCCAGAGCACCCATATTGGTCAAGGCAGCTGTCATAGTAGCTGCTGTCATACTGGCCATAGCGGCACTCATGGTGATGTTTGACATGCTGGGCATTCCTGGAATATTGGATAGCCCCATTGGACCCATGTTGGGCATATTCGGCATGTTTGGCATCCCCATGCCCATTGGGAGAGGTAAAGGTAGGGGTAAGGAGAGGGGGGCAGGAGATGGAGTTGGGAGAGGGAGCTGGAGGATGGCTTTTGGCCGAAGACTCTCAGGAATGGGCACCCCCGCCTTAGCACACATGGCAGCAGCATTAGCTTTGGCTATCTCCAGTAACTGGTCCTTATCTGAGGAAAGAGGACAGAGGAGAGACAGAGGGCAGAGAGGGTGTAAAACAAAGAATGAATTTAAGAAAAATCGAAAAACAAAATCATACAAAATGAAACCGTGAGCTGTGTTAAGTATGACTGTTTTTAGTTCCTATCGAAATGTTTTACCCAGTTCAGTGAGCCGTGGAGGAGTCTTGCTGGTGCTGCGTCGTGTTCGGGACCCTGAGCGGCGCTGTTTGCGAAGAATGAGAACTGGAGAGTGGCTAGGTTCCCTTTTCCACCTGTCACGTCTATCGAACGAACGACTGCGAAATGCTGGGCGCCTGCCTCGACCCCTTGACCTAGACCTGCGTCTGCGGTCAGAGGAACGTGACCTCGAGCGCCTGCTTCTGTCTCCTGACCTGGACCTTTTCCTCCGGCCTGTGGAGCGGCTCTTGGATCGCTTGCTTCTGTCTGTGGACTTGGACCTCCTCCTCCCACGGGTGTTAGGTGAACGGGATCGCCTCTTGCGGGTTGGAGAGCGGGACTTGGACCTGCGGACCCTGGTCCGTGACTTGGAGCGTGAACGCTTACGTCGTGCAGCAGAGCGTGACCTCCTCCGCCGGGCAAGACTCCGAGATTTAGACCGCCGCTTCTTCCTTTCTATTGGTGAGACAGATTCTCTTTTCCTCACTGGAGACTTAGACCTGAGGGAAGGTGAATGATAACAAATATATGCACAATGAGGGTGGAGACAATTCCCTGAGTAACTTGATTACAAAAAATTATTTAATCCATATATAATTATACACAGCGCACCAAGTTTTGCCTGGATGAAGACAGAAAATAACAGAGAAAACGATAGAAAGTGTCCAAGTTTGGGATCATTCCAAGTTGAAATAATAAAGAAAAACTCTGTAAGTGTGTTTATTGTAAGACCGAACTAGCCTACTAGAATAGCCCATTGTCAATGCTTCACTGTGAAAACAAGTCATTGTTTTTCCATGGGGAAAAAAAGAAAACGTGATTGCTCTCTTGATCACATGAGGCATCCAGGTCCAAAACAAACCACCTAGACCTTCCTTAAAGGGGACGGCGGCTCAGCCAGTAAGACAAAGGTTCAGTTAGGAATCAGATCCTGTACTCAAAAGTTCTAATACGCTACTTTGAAAATACTCCACTAAGTAGTACAGTAGGAGAAAAACAGAAGCCTGTCCCCCGTTGTTGAAAAAACATCGAAACCTCTACAAAATCTCTTTTGTATATTTGATATTGCTCTTTAATAAAGCAAACATATTTCTTACCCAGTTACTCGATAAATGAATTTAATAATTGATAGAATACTTCTTCTACTAAAATAATCAATAGCTGTAGCCCTATGCACAATACTGCCTTTTACATTACAACTATTAGTGCAGCATAATGTGAGAATTAGGTCTTTAATATTTAATATTTTTCGAGATCTTAATAAACTTTAAAGTATTTAACTCCCACAGAACTCCCCCCCCACACACACACACACACACACACACACACACACAGGAACATACACACAACAAACCTAGACTGCTTCTTTCTGGATGCAGACTTTGACGTGGATCGTCGAGGCGAAGAAGTTGAGCGTGAAAGTTTCCTGCGATCCGGTCCAGGTGAGCGTGACTTGGACAGCTGCTTCTTCTGCTCTCCCGGAGATGCTGGACCTGTAGAGCTGAGGAGCCTGAGAAGGGTTTTAACGGGAGATTCCTCTTCTTCATCTGAGCCTTCTGAACAATCTGACTTTTCTGGGCTTGTGCCAGGCTCTCTGGAACCAGACCTGGAGACATCTTGTTCATTGGATGAGCTGGCACTCTCTCTCTGTTGCTTGTCATTGTTGGGAGCAAGCGTCTGGGGCGGCAACTTATCGGAGGAGCTTGCAGCAGGGGGGCTGGAGGCAACTGCTGAGGTCATGGGTTTCCACACACCTGCATGGTACATATTAAATGATAAAGCATAAAGACACATTAGGCCCTTTCAAGGCAACATTATCACAACTTACTGAAGACTGAATATTATATTTTTGTAGCCCGTACTTTAAGATCTGTATACACTACAATTGAATGACTGAGGGTTAAGGGGTTACTGAAGTGTCATTGCCAATTGACTCGAGTTTTAATATTGCACTTTTACACTTAAAATTGATTTACAATAACATCGACTAGTTTGTGAAGAACAGAAAGTTGAGTTTCACTTTTGTTTTTGTAATGGAATGCTCTTGTTAACAATCTTATCGTAGCTGATGCTTCAAAACATAGCCATGGAAAAGGTCTGACCTGTTGTAGCTGGAACATCTCCACTTTCGCTTGTTGCCTTCCCACCAGCTGTCTGCTCTACCTTAGGAGAGGATGGCTTCTTTTCTTTAACAGGAGAGGAAGATGTGGATCTGGCTGGGGAGGAGCTCTCAGACTCCCCATCACTTGACTCAGACCTGGAACTGGACTTAGATTTATTCAAAACTGCAGAGTCAGATTTAGACTTTGACCTTCTGCCACCCTTCCTAGGAGATTTGGACCTCCTCTTGCCAGGTGGTGGTGAGCGTGACTTTGACCAATGCCTCCGAGACAAGGAGCGGGATTTGGAGCGTTTGCTAGATCTTGGTGGAGAGCGATTTCTCCTGGCAGGGGATCGAGAGCGCTTTCTGATAGGTGATCGGGATGTAGACTTTCGTCGGGAAGGAGGGGTCCTGGATTTGGTCCTTTTGCGGGGACTCTTAGATCTGGAGCGACGGTTGCGCTTAAGGACTACAACGGAACGTGATCGAGTTCGCCTGCTCCTGCGGACAGACCGGGATCGTGAGCGGCGGGATCTTGGGGGTGGTGACCTCCTACGTCTAGACACAGATCGACTCCTGGAGCGCCTGCCTCCTGTGCGCCTTCCCAGTGACCGCGACCTGGAGCGATGAACAGGGCGTCTTGATCTAGAGTGGGAGCGACGGGTTCTATTAATGGAACGTGATCGTGAACGCCTGCCAACTGCACCACCTCGTCTAGGTGAGCGGGTCCTGGAACGCCTATTGCCTCCACGGGGCCGTGACTCTGACCTTCGACTTCTCCTTGGAGACCGAGATAGAGAGGGGGACCTGCGCCCACCACGTTTAGGGGATCGTGACACCTTTCTTTTAGGTGAGTGGGAGCTTCTGCGTCGCTTTGGGGAAACAGACAATGAAGTCCTCCGACGTTTAGGAGACTTGGACTTCTTTGACGCCTTTGGCGCCTTCTTCTTGGGGGTTGGGGAGCGAGAGGTGGACCGGGACCGACAGCTAGCTCTTTTGGGTGACTTTGACTTTGGGGACGGGGAGAGTGACTTCCTCCTAGATTTAGGGGACTGAGAGCCGGACAGAGAGCGGGACAGCTGCCGGCTCTTTAGAGGAGTTTTAGAACGTTCTCCCTTTGAGACTGACCTGGAGAGGCTTCTTGACCGTTCTTTCACTGCTGTTGCAGTTTGACCATCAGACTGCTGCCTACTAGGACTAGGTGAAGGTGACGGACTATGTCTTGACCCAGACCTCTTAATGTCTTGGCCCCTGGAAGGGGAGGGAGACCTAGACCTGGAAGAATCATGTTCCTTGGCCTTTGGCCGCTGAACTGAATTGGCCTGATCTTTAAGGCCTGGGTCATCTCTTGGGGTAGCACCTTCCTGTTTAGGGATAATGTCAGGGAGTTCATGGGCATGACTGAATGTACTACCAGCATGACTACCCTCTGTCTTAACCTTAACTGTTGCTGTCTGTGTTATCTCATCCTGGCCTGCAGAGGGTGACCTAGTGTCCTTTTCTGAGCCATTTGTGTTATTGCCCTTCCCTCCAGATGGGGACACAGCCATATCTGATATTTCTTCTTTCTTCACTCCAAGCACATCAGAATTCTGTGTAAGGATAGGAACCCCCTTCTCCTCCCCTCGTTTGCTTTTTGGAACCAGTTTGGACACTGGTTCTTGCAGGTCAGATGCTGCAGCTGGAGAGTATTTGCCATCACCAGCCCCTTTACCTCCTTCACCTTCAGACTCAGAACCTGAAGCCGAGCTGCTTTCAGATGGGGAGCGAGATGGGGATTTCTTTTCCTGCTTTTCATCCTTCTTCTTCTTCTTTTTCTTCTTCTTAGCAGCATGTCTTTTGTGTTTTTTGGATTTTGCATCACCTTCCGTTTCCGCACGATCTGAGAGGAGAAGTGAGGATTTTTTTCAATAAAATGAATCAATTTCTTTTAAAGAAAATATGAATTGTGTTTGTGTGTAAGAGTCTCCTACCTGTAATTACATCCCTTTTGCCCTCTTCCTTCAGCCCAGCATTGTCTTCAGCCCCTGTAGCTGCTGCAGCCAGTCTGGCACTACAAACACAAAACAAATATAACACAAAGAAAAGTGTTCACAGAAATTGTAGTTTTTCCTTGTTAATGTGTAGTCTCCAATACAAACAAAAAAGTAGGTCACAGTTTGGGTAAGGTACAAAATCTTGTTTAGGCAAGCCTAAAAAGTATTATGATGGGAATGGTGGCTTTTCTCAGACAAATCTGCAGAGATAATACAGGAAATTTGGATAGTGTGTTAAACTCTGGATTGATGTCTATTGCCTTTTACACCTCCAATTCCACATAACAGTAACTTGAAGAAATATAGAAATTTTGACAAAAAAATATAGTACACAGCTTTAATTTTTTTTTAGTATCCAGCTTGAATTTTATAAAAATTTATGTTCACGAGGTTGAAAGAATAAATCTATTAAGTCTCAGACAACAATCAATTTATTTTACACATTTTCACAAAATGTAATTTTAAATAACATTTTAGTTCTACTGACCTGGCTCTGGTTGTCCTGACAGGTCTCGGTGGAGGTGGTGGCTCCACATCCGAATCAGCACCAGACTCTGAACTGCTCTCCTTTTCCCCCTTCCTCCTCTTTTTCTTCTTCTTGCTCTTGTGTTTTCTGTGTTTCTTGTTTTTCTTGTGAGGTGGCTCATTTCCTTCCTTGGCATTTATGTCATCTTTCTCAGGTGCCTCATCCTCACCTGCACAGGGCAGCCAGTATTTTAGATTATGCAAATATATGGCAAATCCATAACATGACAATACAATTTGGATGTGCAGTCATTATCCAATAGGTAAAAGTTTCTCCCTATACACAATCAAACAGCGGTGCAGCACTGTTGCTACATACCACAAATTCTTCCAAAATGTGATCACCGTAAATCCCTGTACAATTAGCTTGTAAGTCAAACTATATATTTTCAATTTTCAAATTGGTTTGGTAAACTGGTTGATAAGGAAAACAAAGAGTGATGATGGTCATGATGAAACTACGGTTGGTTGGATAAAACTAAGGAGGAGGGGACGCGGGTATTTTGCCTCCTGTGTGTAAGATGTTAAGATGCCTTACAGAGTTATTTGACTCTGGAAGCAGCTGGAAATTATTTATTCCGTGTTTAGAACAATACTTAATATATTAAACAAATAAACTCCTTGCTTGTTGCTCTGACACATTCAGAATCAGAAGTGCTTTTTCCTTTATCCTTGAACAGGCGGCTGTTAAAACATATATATTTAAATAATTAAATGAAGATCATAAATGTGCTAGAAATAGTTGACTATATGAAAATCTTTAGTCAGGGGCAGCCATAGGAAACACTGTACCCACTTATCGTTTATCCTGTTCAATTCAGTGTGCACTCTTCACAGGAATCCTGTGTAAACTGTTCGTCATACACAAAGAATAAAGTGATTTATGGATAAGAGGACGTTTGGCAGGCACTAGTTAGCCTTTCACCTTGACAATTCTGTATTCGGTATAATGCAGTTTTTTCAGGACCGATGGAAAAGCCGTAACAAGCCATACCATGAGCGACCATGCTGTTACATTTTTTCTTTATAATTTTGAACATTGCCAGTTCAGCTTTCGTGTGTTTTAAATAGTTTCTGGACAACTATGGACTTTTATGACAAAAAGGGCATTAAACCTCTCAGGCATAAAAAAAATCTGCAGGAAAACAGCAGTAAAAGAAACTAAATCAAAATGGCAAAAAATTGAATGAAACATATTTCTTTGTGTCCAGTCACTCACCTGAGGGAATTTCCACTGCACATTCCATTGACCCTGGTTTTGTAAAGGCCCTCTTAATGCCTCTGGTGTGCTGCTCCCTCACTCAACACTGGTAAGAGAAACAAAGTTATTCTCAGTTCAGCAAAAAAGAACGCATCATTAACACAAAGTAGAGATTTCATAGACATTATATAGCAAAATGTAAGTAACCCTAACCCACAGCCGGCTAGCGAATTGACTCAAGTGCTGTATCATTACAGTCACCGGATTGGTTTAAGAATGTGTCATCATATACAATTGATGAGAGAGAGAGGCATTTAAACCTCGTCTCCTCAATACATCCATTATTTAAGGAGTCACAACATCAATGTGTCATTACAACAAAACTGATACAAAGAACAAAAAGCACCAAGAGCTCAATGATGAACACAGTTCACATGCCGTTGCTGAGCGGCTAAAAACCCCCCTTAGGCGATCAAGGTAAGAAACGCCTTTTACCACACCACCACAGTGTAATGGAAAAACAAGCCAAGTTGTGCCAGTGCAGCTCGCCTGCTTATGGGTCTTTACAGCATATGGTGACTACACTCTCAACGGAAAAACATTATCCTAATGATATGTAAGGATGAGTACAGAGGAACTTTCTAAAATGGATACCCCTCTAGTCAGGAGCCAAATAACTGGGCAGTCATGCTGCTATCAGTATTTATAAATGTGGTGGACAAAATAGACACCTCTCAGTATAACCAAGAGTACCACAAACTATTACATACAAAATTACCATGAAGATGACCCAATACGCACTTCTCTAAAACAGTTTGAACAAAAACTAATTTTAACCTTCATGAAGGTAAGACTTATTGCAAGTCTGTTCTAATGGACTACTATTGTATATAACCCCTCTGTTATTAAACAGTCAAGTCTAGAAAGGTCCCAAGAAGCTCTACAGGTTCAGGACTGGAGCTGAACATTTTCCAATTATATATATGTGTGTAATAAAAAATAAATGTTGAAATAAAATGTTTCCCATGTGTGCCCTAACCAAACCAGGTCTCATTCCCACTCTTTCCCTAAAGGGTATTGTGATAAATATTGATAAAGAACACCTTCTGGCCATGGTCCTATTTAACTTTTTCCACCACATACTATAGCCCAGTCACAAGAACAACTTGAGTATTTAACTGGCAAATTAAGACAGCCTGTCTCTGAACACACAATAACCGCAATGCTTAGATAAACCTACAGTGTGTGTCAGCAAAAGGACCAAAATCTGACTAGATTACTGTGTAACTTTGCTTTTGATTTTACAGTCTGTAAACACTCTTTTTGAAAGATTAAAATAAGTAAAACAAGAGACGCACATGAACATGAGCATGCATCTGCTTACAGATTAGCTATCTTTATTTAAGGAATAAATAGACCGCAAGCATCCTGCCTTAACACCAGTCACTGAGATACGTAACAAACATGGTCTACCAGTACTTAAATATAGGACCACTGATATAATAACTCAGTGGTATAACCCTTCTAACACAACAAAGCTGTTGTGTCTCCCAGACTACAGTGAGGCTGAATAGCTAATGCAAAAGTTCAGAAACATATACTTGTAGATGGTGGTAGCCGTACAATTTAAAATTAACTAAGATCTCGGAAAAACATCTTATTGGCATCTTATTTATGCATTCATCCATTAAAGTTGTCTGATTTCAGCCGATTACCACCGTCTTCTTTGTATACTATATTTGTTTGTATGCAAGAGTTACTGGATACCTACATTTCCTGAGTAGTATCTATCTATCTATCTATCTATCTATCGTAAAGGCATGTTTCATTGTCGACCATGAGCTTATCGTGTAAAGGCAACATTAGCCCTGCCACCATACATACACGAGAAGCACTCCTGCTAACAAACACTGGCAAAGAGCCACGAGTCACAATCTCACAGTTGGCGCAAAACACACACACACACACACACACACACACAGGATTTATTTGCAGAAACAATTAACCAACACTAAACAATAGCTACGTATCCGAAAACAATAACACTTAAATCGTGAAACACCAAGAATCGAGGTTATGTAGCAAACACATGAAACGCCAGGGTTGCTAACGTTATCTAACATTACCGCTTCAATTACTGCTACAGCTAACCATCCAAAGGTATGGTGGCCAACATGTTATTTCAGGACTCAAATAACCGCAGCTAACATTAAGTAAGCCCCATTGTGTGTCCGACGCACTGGTACGCGGTGCTTTGTTACACGAAATGCAATTATTTACACGTCGGTTTGGACAAAGATGTGCGGATAATAGAGGCAAACAAAAGAGAGGAGGAGGAGGAAAGTTGTAAGCAGCAACAGACAGTTCATTCACATGTTAGATAATCAGTGCTGGGCCTGCACTGCCCTCGGTAGCCTTAACATTCATTCACAGAGGACTACGGCTACCTAACATTAGCTTAACTCAATACAACGACCATAATAATAATAATAATAATAATGTTTTTTTATTAAACTGCATATTCATTAAAATGTGCATTATTCTGCACGCCTACCAGTTGGAAAAGCTGACACATGCTGCCTGCACGCCGCGGCCTAAGAGCCAGCCACTCGCTAGCTAACGTTAGCATTGCCGTAGCTAGCGAGCTAGGCGTTTAGCAGCCGCTTGTTTCACCAAAGTGAGTTCATCCGCTCATCGCAGCTGTCGATTCTGTCGCACATACTCACCCAGCTTCTGTTCGGTGGCTGCAGTTCCCGTGGAGAAAACGCCAACTGGCCGCAGTCCTGAGATGTGTGAAGCCGAACAATCGTTGAATATGCTAACCGTTCACGTTAGCCGACTACCTGATCCGCCATGATGGAGAAAGGTTACCCAACATGCCATGCTTCGCGGTTTGAATGGCGGCGTCACTGTTTCCTAGGCAACTCCGTGCTCCATGGTAGCAGCAAACTCACCGTGGTTCAATTATCTCCAACGTTACTTCTTGTTTTTGTCTTTTGTACGTATTATCCTATGTATAATATTATAAATAATGTATGATTTTAAAAAAGAAAAGAAAAGAAAAGAAAAGGCCCCGTTACAATTTATGAGTGTGTATAACTTTATGTAATGATTGGATGTAGTTTGTGTCTCTTTACTCTGCCTTGTTAATTTTGTTGCACTCAATATATTTTTTAATATCTTTACGGTTTCTTGGTTTTTATACCCTGGATCTCAGAGAAACATTACTTCATTCGGGCTATATTTTTCCTTGTTGAAATAGAAACGAAAATAAACAAACACTTGAAGCTGTACAGTGTGACACCCATCTAGATAAGGTAGGAAAAAGCACACCTGAGTGTCTTCATCGTATTACATGTGGTCACTTAATTAAAAATGCTTTTCCCTTTTCAGTGCTCAAACTTCACTACACATTTCCCATGCACGAAAGAAAGAAAACTAAATGATGTGTTCATGGACAATGCATGAGACTTTCTCATATACAAAATGGTTTGAAAGTTGCTGCTTAAAAACCAGACATATAACAACAAAGTGATGCACAATTGCAAGCCTTTCTCTCTCTCTCTCTCTCTCTCTCTTTCTCTCTCTCTGTTTTTACCTTCTTTTTGTCCTTCACAGTTGAAAAGAGTGAATGTCACATTTGGTAATAATGATCACCTCCTAGGGCATGTAGACGATATTGTTTGCTGTTAATATATGTGGCTTTAACATCTGTTTTCAGCAGTAAATGCATTTGTTGTTGTTTTTAAGCAGAGACATGGACCATTTAATGATTTTTAGTATTTTGTGCCAAACCTGATTCGATTATCTGGATAATCTGGATTATAATAGTAATTTTATCTGTCATGTAAAACACATGCAAGTGTTGACTATTGAGTCGTGTGTGTCTGTGTTGAATATGAAGTAGCTTTTATGTGTAAGCAGTATTTAGTGCTTTTATTTAGAAACATCAGGGCAGAAAGTATTACTAGTTTTAACTTTAACTAAGAAATGTGTGCAGGCAGCAACTATAGTTTTAAAGTACTGTAAATGTTGTCTTCAACTGCCAAGGTCCCCTTCAGACACATTTTAAAACATATAAAAATACCCTTCTTTGTATATTAAATTGTGTCTAATACGATTTTTCCATAAAGTACTCCTCCTTCTCCCTCCTTGAAAAATCCAGAATTGGTGAAAAGGTAAAAAGTATTTTAACTAAACACAAGATGTCTCTCTTGTGGTGTCACAAATAATGCTCAGAGCCCAGAGAAAATATGCATTTTCAGCAGATGAATGTGAAAACAGTATTGGTCAACTATTGCACATTCATCCTTCTCCACAGAAGGAAGGGAGGTCAACCATTAAAGTGAAGTAATAATAAGCACATTTTTGAGTGCAAGAGGACTAAAGTCTCAAAATGTTACTCCTTACACAGCAACAGATTGAATGCCAACATCAGAATAAAGTAAAACACCAGAGAGATATATTACTTGTGCCGACTTTTAAGTTTTGTCAGGTAAAAAAAAAAATATATATTTGTGGAGACTGTGCTTTTATTTTGAAGGATTCGGGTCGGAAGTCGTAATGTTGTCGCTGTAGCGGAGGCATTGTTGTCAGTGGCATGTGTTTACTTCTAAAAGTCTTCATCAGTTAAAGAAAATGAAGAAGAGGTTTAACATCAACCTAGACGATTCTGCGTTTACCAAAGAAAGAACACCGGTTTGTTTTTGTTTTTACCAGAATTACGTTAATATCTTTATTTCTACGGCGGCTCGGAAGTAGCTAGCTAGCAAGCTGTCAAGCTGGTGGCTACATTTTGTAAACAGCTTTACCAACCTCGCATCACAGAACTGTAAACGTGAGTGATTGTTCTGCATGATTCATTTCACAATTCTCAACTCTCAGATGTCCATTGTGTGATTATATTCCAGCCAAAGCCGCAGTTTCAGTCATCGTCCAAAGTTGGACAAAACCCCTCATCTTCATCTTCAGCAAAGCCCGCTGCAGAGCCCGAGGACCAGCCCGAGGACCAGCCCTTGTCCTATGCACAGTTCATCGTCCAGAGTAAAAACAATGTGGCTGCTCCTCCTCAGAGAGAGGGTCCCTGCAAACTGCTCAGGACTGAAGGGACTGGGGTTACCAACATGGAGCAAAGTGAGTCACCTTCAGTGTCGTCTGTCCCAGGAGGATGTGAAACAGGTCAGGACTGTGTTAAAGGGTCTGAAGGTGGATCTGAAGGGGTCAAGAACAGTGAGGAGACACCGGTGACTGGCACGGACCAAAAGGAGGGGAATTGGCAAAGGTCAGATCCAAGCCTCAGTCTGGGTCCAAAACCAGCGGGTTCTGGGAGCAGCATTATTGTCAGTCCTCGGCAGGTATGTTAAAATGTACAACATGTATGTGACTTTTGACTCAGGCATCAGGTCTGTGCAGGAAATCCCCAATGCTCTCTATCCAAACATCCTTTCTCTGCAGATGTTTACTCCCACTCAGAGTCACATTACACGGTACATTAGTTTGCTGATGGAGACATCAGGCTTGTTCCAAGTTGTTTCTTTATTAGCTTGGATAAGTTTAACTGTCTTCTGGCTTGTAATTCAGCAGGTGTAACAGGAGGTATGTGTTGTTTTGTTTTTTTTTCCCAATTCAGAGGGGAAATCCCATTCTGAAGTTTGTGAGGAGTGTCCCGTGGGAGTTTGGAGAGGTTGTACCAGACTATGTCTTAGGCCAGACAACTTGTGCTCTCTTTCTCAGGTGGGTTTTGCAGCAAGGACACAGCCTCTGCACGTGGGGTGCCAGCTCCACCAGGCGAGCCACCAGGGCTTTTGTTTTTGATGAGCAATGTTTTTTTGCTATGCACTTCTTTCATGCAAATTTTTTTGTCTCTTTTGTGTGTCGTGTTTTCCTCTGTTGTTGGTTTTGGGCCTGGCTAAAAGTCTGAGGTATCACAATCTCAATCCAAACTATATACATGACCGTCTGAAGCTGCTTGGACAGACTTTCACCCTGCGAGTGTTACTGGTACAAGTCGATGTGGTAAGTAAAGAAAACATTGACCCTGACGTTGGCAAGTTATATTCATTCAGTCAACATTCGCTGAGTCACACGGCTGAAAGTGCAATGTTTTGCAAACCGTTGTGTCTCATAGTTAACTTCAGCAAGGTAATATTCTGGTTGTTTGTACTGTATTTATCAAACTTGGCAGGAAAGGAAATTCAGACCCCGTCTTGGAAACAATTATTATATCCAAAGAAAACATATTTTAATTGATTGATATCTGTGTATCAAATTGTTATTTCTTTGATGTGATTGTGTTTGTGTGTATTTAAGTCTCTGTGCTCCAACTTTGTCAGCTGTTCTAAGGTATCATAAACATACTGTGTTAAAACATAGTATGAATTTCAAGTATACAGAACGTTTTAAAATTAATTAATACATTCTTGCATTTAAAAAAAGCTAATAAATAATTAAACTAATTAAGTAGTATTTAACTAATAAGTTAATACTAACAAATTTAATTTAATAAATAAATTAATTAATAAAGCAAATTGATACAATACAACAAAGAGTCACAAAATGCCTCTACATATCTGTAGGCTAGCTGATTAACTGTAACAGCTGGATTTCATTGTCACTTTCTATTACAGTGTGTTGACAAGGATTAAAACAGTCATCAATGTTGTGTTTAACAAAATGGAACCGCATATAGAAAACACTAAACCGTTAACGGAGAGCTGTAATGTAAGCTATCCATGCAGAACGCTGTATTTGTCAAGTATATCTTGCCGCAATTGAATTTGTTTCTATAACAGTGGTATAATTGAACTGTGAAGTGTGCAGCTGGAGGCAATTTTGGAGAAAAATATAAATGCCACAATTGACAGATACTATATACAATATGAAACAGACTCCATTTATGAATTAAGAATTCATGCATTTCTCACTGACATTGGTTTTTAATCAGAAAGATCCTCATCATGCGTTGAAGGAGCTGGCTCGCATCTGCATCATGGCTGACTGCACTCTCATCTTGGCTTGGAGGTAAGACCTGCAACAGATTGCTAATCAAACTGAACAGGACAACGAGGTTTACTTGGAATCAGTTTTAAATGATTGCTTCTCCATGTTGTGCATATGGTTCCAGCCTTTGCACCTAAAAAGTGAAGTGATAAAATCTGATTTTTCTGTTTTTTCAATGTGATTCATATTTGAGTTTGTAATGGTTAGTTTCATTTAATTGTAATATTAATATGTTGTCTTATTCTGGCCCTGTTGGTCAGGGAACAGTGAGCCTGATAATTAAGTAATGAAATAAATCAATAAAAATACCTAATACCTCTTCATGTGGATTTGACAGTCCAGAGGAGGCAGGCCGTTACCTGGAAACGTACAAGTCATATGAAAAGAAACCAGCAGACGTATTGAAGGAGCAAGTTGAAAAGGACTATCTGTCAAAGGTGTGTGGATGGAGTCACCCTTTTCTATGTAAAGATTATATAGTACATAAAGATTGAGAGGCCCATTCATATTTTTAGTTTTGATAATGTTGACAATTTGAAAAATATGGAACATATATATATGGACATTTTCATGTGATTGACTGAATATGATCCAGTCACAGACAATGTCCAGGACACTTATTTGCAATCAGAGTATTCACAAGTGTCTGGCAGTGTTTTTTAATCTTTGAACAATGCAGTGCTGATCAGATTGGTTTGTTTTAAGGTTACAGATTGCCTGACCACAGTGAAGTCTATAAACAAGACCGATGCCATTACCTTGCTGTCTACTTTCTCAGTGAGTACTTCCACAGGGGAAATTCATCCTCAGATTGATGCTGTACTTTAAGCAGTTTATATGCACAGACAGACAGATTTGAATTGTTTCATTCTACTTAATTTAATTTAGTGGTGTTCTCGGAGGGAGTCATATGGTCAGTGTACTGATATGATGAATTTTGTGTTTTTCTTTACAGTCTGTAGAAGGAATTATCAGTGCCTCTAAGGAAGACTTAGTCCTCTGTCCAGGCCTTGGGCCACAAAAAGTAAGTAAAAATACATGTGCGCCACATGAATATAAAGACAGTTAGAAGGAACATTTATTAAATAACCATGTTGGCATTTTTTGCTTGCAGGCAAGGCGACTTTACGATGTGCTGCATAAGCCCTTCCTCAAGTCAAACACAAAAGACAGCTGAAACCTCTTACCAAGGAGGTGTGACATGCTTCTGAAAAGAACTCCGTAAAGCTGCTCATCATGTTCAACAGCGTGCAAACACACTTCAGAGGGCTGAATTAAATACTTCAAACACTCTTGATTTACTTCGGTCAAGAAAGAATTGTGTATTGTTTACGGTCGGAGCTGCTCACTGATTCTGTGCTTTATTCAGTTATGGTGTTATATAATTTGTCTATTGTTGAATTTCTTTTTTATGAAAATAAATATTTTGTAATATTTTTAAACTGTTGAGTGTGCATTAATTATTTCTTAGTTACTTTGTTCTCAGAAATAAACTAAAATAAATGCGTATTCACAAAAACCTAGAGATAATTAAGAATATATATATTATTGAAGTATACTGTATGAAATTTAAACATAGAAATTAAGCTTTTTTTGATGACAGAAAGGGGGATGATACCGTACTAAACTGCTGAATATGTCGTAAACTACTGTAACTAAAGAAAACATTTGTATTTGAATGACTAATGATGTACCAATTTAAATATGAAGGAAAAAGAGCAGTAAGGTTCCTCTCAGAAAGGAGTAACCCTTCTCTTTTAACTGCCATATATACATTTGTTTGAAAAAGAGGAGACTACCAGAAGTTTTAAAATGAAGTAGTTTCTAATCCCATCTGCTCCACAGCGCGGTGCTGCCTTTAAGTGCTCCTCCGAGATTCCCCTTTTTCTATATTCGGAAATCACAATTTCACTTGAAGTGCTTTTAAATAAGCTCTATATTAGGCTGTACTAACAGAGAGTGGAAACACAGTTGCCTATGTAGAAATGTAGAAAGAAAATATGTGATATGCACGAATTTGGTTTAATAATTAAAACTAAACAAACATGACGAATTTGAATAAAATACAATTACAAAGTTTAGTTAGAAATATTTAATATGAGTTTTTTGGCACCCATACATGATTGCGAACAGAAGCAACAAACACTCATGTTTTTTGTACAGTTGTTTTACGCTGTATATTATATATTTATAATAAGAATATATATTTATGATATTTCCGACGGCCCGTGAAGGCATGGTAACTTAATCTGACGTCAAAACAGGAAGTGTTCGCGATATCCACGGCAGTTTCTGTGTTGTGTTGTTGTTTTTGGCGCTCATTTCACAGCACTACACAGTTTGTTTACTTCTAGAGACACTGTGTTATATTGTGAACATGTTTAACTTGATTTTTCCAGGAAACCAAACAGCAGACGAGTCGAAACGACTGTCGCCCGACACGCAGGCTGAGGAAGAGGAAGAGGACGATGGGTCTCCTGAAGAGTATGTGGCTCGGTCTGGTTTCACTGGAAGTGGCAGCGACCAGGTTAGAGACCCTCACACACTTTCAGCGGGAACTTGAAGGGCGGCTGTCTGGAGCTAACTGAGCTGTTTGGGTTTTTTTTTATTGTCCCACAGATTAGTTTCAGCAGCGGGGACAGACTGCTGGTGCACGCCAAGCCTTCCTCACAGTGGTGGTGGGCAGAGCTGCGTGGGGTCATAGGTTATGTCCCTGCCGGATACCTGCGCAAGGATGCTGCTGAGGGGGAGGAGGAGGAGGAGGAGGAGGAGGACCCATGGCAAGATGATGAATACTTTGGCAGTTATGGGACACTGGTTAGAAACTTTGTAGGAGGATTTCGTTTTGCGTGTCACAGCTGAATTTTCTACATAAATAATTAAATAATTAGAAGATCAGGACAGCTGTTAATACTAGCAAAAATGTAATTTAATTAAAATAAAAAAAAACTGTTATTAGTTTATAAATAGTATTTATTTCAAATAAACAGAACTTTTTTAAAATTAATACATTCTTGAATTTAAAGAAGCTTTTATAAATAAATGATTAAGAAAATTAAGGTCAGGTCAGCTGTTATTAAAAAACCCTAAAATTCAATTTAATTTAATAAAAAGCAATTAAAAGCAAATTGTAAACAGAAATAGAGTCACAAAATGCCTCTGTAACAGCTGGAGTTCAATGTCACTCTCTATTACAGTGTGATGACAAGGATTAAAACGTTCAGCGATGATGTGTTTAACAAAATGGAACAAACACTAAACCGTTAAATGAGAGCTGTAATGTAAGCTTGTTGTCTTTAATTGTCTTTAAATTGTCAGCGTGTGCAACTTATGCTTACAGTTTTTATAACAACCATGCATTACAGCATGGTAGCTATAAATACCAAGGTAAGAGGTTGCTATAAGGCACTGTTCTTTGGTGGTGTGTTTAAGGACAAATTCAGAGAGCCTGGAGAGATGCCTTACATTCACAAGAAATGTTAAAAGAAAACCCAAACCACAATAGATATTTAAATGAAATGTAAAAGGCTGCTGTTCAGCTACTGACTTTCCTTGGATGCACTACCCAGGAAGGCTCTAAACAAGCAGTGCTGTAACAATTGTCAATTGTTATTTGAATTTGAATTTGAATGACTTGAACCACCCTTCCTGGGGCAAGTTTTCAACTCTCTGCATAGTGATTGTCATCCTGTGCTGTAATACATTTAAAACAACGGCTGCCTGGAAGGGAGGTAATTAAACAAAACCTTTAAGGCATGCTTTGAAAAACAATTGTCATTGTTAAGTGTTCAGAATTTTGAGACCACCACCCAAAGTGTTCAATATTTAATAAATATGACATTATTAAATAAATACCCATATAAATAAAAGCAGAAAAATATATAATACAACCATGAAATGTGTTTGTACGTCACACAGTCTGTCAATCAGGAATGAGAGGACAGCCTGTTGCAGTTGAGTATTGGATTATTTCAAAATGTATTTGTAATCTTTATTTCATAATGTAATTTTAATTAATATGTAACACCATTGGTCTCTATAAAAGAACATGACCACCGGATGTGTCATGACTTGTCACATGTTGCACTGACATACTACTCTTTTATTTTTTTGATGCAGAGGCTTCATTTGGAGATGTTGTCAGATAAGAGCCGCACTGAGGCATACCGGCAGGTTATTCTCAGCAACTGTGCTTCTCTGAGGAATAAAGTGGTGATGGACCTCGGCTGTGGGACTGGCATCATCAGCCTGTTCTGCGCTCAGCTGGCACAACCCTCAGTGGTAATGTCAACAAGATGGCCGGTGGGGAAGTTACACAAACACTGAGGCTCTTTTACACAAATACACAGGTTGCTGTTTATGCAGTCTGCAGTGTATGGACTAGTTGAGGGGCTGACACCTCGTAGGACCACGGCTCAGATCCAATCCCATTTGAGGGATTTCTATTTATAAAGAGAAATGAAGCTGCCTACCATTCCTCCAAGTTAATTTTAAGCAAGTCATCTGTCGACCTATTGACGTTTGTTCATTTTAAGGCATATATTAAATAGCAAATAAATTGGAGCAGGGATTTTTTCACCTAACACGTGCATATGCATGTTCACAAATATAAAGGTGTTTGTTGTTGTGAGTTTTATTGTAAGCTTGGAATTGTTCTGTTCTGTCAGGGTATTTAAAGGTCAGTTTAACACTGCACTCCTGTAACATTGTGTTACAAGTATAGTAAAGTGCATCAGGGCATCAGAACCAGGGATATCTTTTTTTATTCCACACCTTTTTCCTTATCAAAATCTGGTGCCTACATTACCCAAAATGCACAATGGTCACTGACAGTTCTGTCTGAAATTTAGGTGTAGTGGCTGATGGATTGGTGGAGTTTTCCTTTGAATATCAACAATTTGTCACCCCACCTGGCAAAAAAAGTAATGTTCAACTTGTTTAACCCCAAAATGTGTTTTTAATTAGACCACATTTGCACAAAGTAACACTCAAATACCATGAAAATATCTGAATTGTTACCCAGAAATGTAAGATACAGTTCAAAGCTCTCAAGTGATAACAAAATTCCCAGGAAAAATAGCCGAGAAATCCAAACAAAATATGGCAGGTCAGATCAACATAATCTCTCTATAATATACTAAACAGTTTACTCATTTGTGTATATCAAACATTTGTTGAGTTATACTCCCATCTGCTGGACAAAGAGTGTTGCTACATGGTATAAACAACATGGTGTACACAGTATGTAAGTTTGTCTGTGGGGTCGTAGGTGTATGCAGTGGAGGCGAGCTCCATGGCAGAGTACACCAGACAGCTGGTGAAGCAGAACGGCTGTGAGGAGGTGGTCACGGTGCTCCAGGGACGAGCGGAGGAGATCGAGTTACCTGAGCAGGTGGACGTCCTGGTGTCTGAGTGGATGGGTAACTGCCTGCTGGTAATAATGACACTACCAAATCTGTTCCTAAGAATATAAGTTATTACGTGGATATTTGCTCTACTTTAGATGCTTCATCTCAGTATTATTACAGCTTCATTGAATCCCATCATGCTCTTCTACTTTCCTCTTTTCTAGTTTGAGTTCATGGTGGAGTCAGTTCTGCTGGCCAGGGACCGCTGGCTTAAGGAAGGCGGCGTGATATGGCCCTCATCTGCGGCCCTCACCCTGGTGCCGTGTCAGGCTGACAGCTATTATGCAGAGAAAATGGCCTTCTGGGAGCGGCCCTATGGCCTGGACTTCACTCCTCTACAGTAAGGGCCATTAGCCAGCTGTTCTCAGTGAATATTGTATTCATACTTTCATACTTACTCATATTTTAACTAACAAGGTCACTAATTAAGCATCATTTTAAAGATCTCAGATGTGAAGTTTCATTATTTAGTATAAAATGTGGGGTCAGGTCGATGGCAGATGCTGACGCAAGTCTTTGTGTGTTATTGACGACAGGCATGGCCGGGCTGCCACATTTAATTTGAAAGTACAATAACACTCAGCTCGTGCATGTGTCATATTGACTGTGAGCATCAAATTCACACAAATCAGTCACACAAGTACTTTTGTATGTAATAACCCTCCATGCCACAATACTTTAATGTATGTATGTACATGGTGATGTGTTGACTCGTTACTGTAAGTACAATTTCTTTTCACACCATGTACATTGCTATAAATACACATACCCACTTCTGTATGTTTAACATTAATCCCTCATTATGCACATAAGTAACTGTGTTTTCAAAATAGATCCAGTGTGACTCATCAACCACATCAGGCAGCAACTAACTGCCGTCTTTGTATTTCTGTAAGTTGCCTTATATTGCCCTGAAACAACTGAAGTTGACCTATACTGCTCGTTGTATTCTGTACCGACTGAGTTACCTCAGCAGTTGAGCGTGAACTGCCTGTCTGAACTGTATTTACCACTCTGTGGAATTTAACCTCTTTACCTGTTCACCGATAATGGAAAACAAGTTCCAAAAAAATTTGGATCTGTATTACTTTGTTTCACTGTGTTAATCATCGTCATCACCATCATTGTTTTTGTTTAGTTGGCTTACAACGATGTAGTTTGGGTTGATGATACACCTGCACACATGACAGAGAATGAAGAGGAACCTGGTTAATGTGTTTATGTGCCACAACATCCTCATTCCTATCAAAGCACTCAAGCTAACATATCCAGGTTCCTCAAAACAGGGAATGTGGTGTTTACATTCCCATCACATATGTGGAATACTGATTATAACCAGGTTACTCACACACAAACACACTCAGTTGTGAAGTTGTTGATGTAAAACATAATAAGACTTAATATTATGATGCATATACCAAATATAGGAAAACTGCTTTAGTGAGGGGCAACAGAGGTCATAAGATATTTGCTACAGCACTACAAACAGTGGCAATTATTATTAAGTAGTCGACTCTGACAGTCTCAGATAACATGAGACCATTTGAGGCTGCTGTTCTGTAAGGTGTTGCAGTTATTTTATCCACTTCTAACACATATTACTTATTTATGAATCCATATTTAGGTAGCCAGTTGTGACGAACTGCATAAACACATTCATAATGTATACTGTTTACCAATATCTCAATAGATAGATATATATAGAATCTATAGTAGCAACTTAATTTCCTCATGGTGTTGAATAACATTTCATCTCTGCAGGCCTTTGGCACAGCAGGAGTTCTTCACCAAGCCCAAGTTCAGCCACCTCATTGAGCCCAATGACTGTCTCACCGCTCCCTGTGATGTCCTAAACCTGGACATGTACACTCTGCAAGTCCAAGACCTGGAGGTACTGCGTGTGTTTGTGTGTTAGAAATTGCTCCGTCATCTACAAGTTAGACATTGTAACTGATAGAAGTGCTCTGTTTCATTTCCCAGGAAATAAAGGGTCAGTTTCATTTTTGTGTGGAAAAGTCTGGTGTTCTCCATGGATTCACCGCCTGGTTCACTGTTCATTTCGAGAGCCTGGAGACAGGAGGCGCAGCAGTGGAGCTAAACACCGGACCTAACTCTGAGTAAAACACTTGTTAGAAGTTAGACACTTTATTCAGCAGTGCTCCTGAGCCCTTACAGCCAATTCATATAATTCAAATAATCCAAATTAGTGCTAAAAAGACAAATACTTTATAATCAATGTCTGAGTACATCTGCGTGTTACAGGCTTATTTTTAGTGTCACAAAAAGGCCAAAACTGGAATGCATGACAATATTAAGTAGACCCTTTTCTCTCCAGGCCAACACACTGGAAGCAGACTCTGTTCATGCTAGACAGGCCGGTTAGTGTATACGCCGGAGACTCCATCAGCGGGACCATTGTCCTGCGCAGGAACCCCATCTGGAGACGCCACATGACCGTTACCCTGCACTGGAACATTAACAGCTGCACAGAGGACACAGACAATTGCCAGGCAAACATCTAACCTTCACCTTATACTTTCCTTATCTGAATGATTTGTTTATAACAGTATAAATTGCATCTGGGACTCACATTAGCCTCCAACGAGTCCTAACTTAACCTTTAACTTGTAAATGTATTATTGTTCACTTGTTTTTTCTCTCCGTCCACAGGTTGGGACAAAGAGTTTCCCCATGTGGAGGTGACACAGCCACAGAAAAACCTGTTGAATTCTGTTGAGTGAGATTACACCTGCAAGCTGCTGCAGACCTGATGAATGAAGTGCGACTGTCATAGCGTACGTGACGGTCAAAGGAGGCTCCTCTGGAAGGACATGCAGTCCTATAGTGATAACAACACACCATAAACCAAGTCATAAGAGCAGATTAACAGAAGTGTCATGATAAGGATGAACTGTGGATCTTTATAGACAAAGAGATGTTGTATTGACAATGATTGACACTATGCTTTATGTTTATTTTATGTTTATTTTGACTCTATGTGCGTATTGTTTTACAATAGGCTTTCCATTTACATTGTTTGTACTTGGTACAAGGGCTACACGCCAGTAGTAGGATTTAATGGATTTAATAAAACAACAGCTTAACCATGAATGATAATGGTTAGTGATATTATACTTTTTTTCCTATTTTCAAATATTAAAGTGAATAATGTACGCCACTGAAATGTTAGCTACAAATATTAATTAGCTTTGTTAGCTAAAATATGCCCCAAAAACAACATTGTAGAACATACAAAGATGATTGTTCACAATAAAATAAAATAACTGTACAATAAGTAAACTCATGTTGATATAAACGACATAACGGAGTCATTCATCTACAAATTTGCTTTTTGTCCCTTATTCTGATTTTTTGTAAACATGTAACTTTTCATTTATTCTGTTGATAGCCGGGGGGGATTTATTTTGCTTTTACTACTGTCCTCCCTTAGTTATTATGTGCTGTGGCAGAACTACTACGACACATCTCTTAGTTAAAGACCATTTTTGTGTGAGTGGACACTCTCTTGGTCATGGCTCTGTTTTAGTCTTTGCTTTTGCTCTGGAGCGCGTGTTGACCTCTGAGGATAAAGTCTGAGTGGACTCAGGAGAAGGAGGCCTGGAGAGCGGGACAAACAAGGGAGGCTTAACAACTTTGTCTTCAACCTGCTTGCTTTTATCCTTTTTCTGCCTCAAGTGTTTATCGCAGTGGTTCACAAACGTATCCAGCTTGACAAAGGTCTTGTTGCACACTTTGCAGTGATAGGGCCGCTGTCCTTTGTTGAGGCGTATGTGCAGCCTGATGTATGATGATCGTACAAAGGTGCGGCAGCAGACGCCACACTTGAGATCCTCTGAGCTACTTTGTGTCGTCTGGGGCTGGTTGGGTGCTGGTGCTGGTGCCGGCGCTGGTTTGGCCTGCCCAGACTCTTGAGCTTTGTGAGAGAGCAGGAGGGACAAAGAGCGAAAACCCTCTCCGCAGTGCTCACACTTGTATGGCCGCTCCCCTGTGTGTAGGCGAACATGTGCCAGGAGACCGGCCTTCTGGGTGAAGGACTTGTCGCAGTAGGTGCACTTGAAGGGCTTCTCGCCTGTGTGGAGCCTACGGTGGGTCTTCAGGTGCGATGCACGGCCGAAGGTCTTGCCACACTCTGGGCATTTAAAAGGCCTGTCCCCGCTGTGGATTATCTTGTGTGCCATCAGGTGGGACGACTGATGGAAGTACTTGCCGCAGGTGCTACATCTGAACTTCCTCTCCTTGTTGTGAGAGGCCAGGTGAAGGGTCAGGTGGGCGGAGGAGATGAAGGTTTTGGTGCACAGACTGCAGCTGTGAGGGTCCAGGCGGATGCGCCGGTGTGGACGTCGGCCATTGGGGAGGCTGCTGCCTGCCTGGCAGGATGGACACTTGGAAGGGCTGTCCGCTTTGTGCACACGCTGCTGTTTAGGGGAGGCTGAAGTGTTGGCAGAATCACGGTCAGAGTCAGGCTGTGGCAGGGTGAGAGTGCATCCACAGTCTGAGCAACGCCCAGTCTGTTGGCCTTTGTCACTGGTTTTATCCAGCATGTCTACAACCAGAGTGGGAGGGGAGGCCGTTTCATACTTTGACACATCTGAAAGTGACACACACATAATGTTTATTATGCTTCATAGTGGTGTGGCTGAGAATTGGCACCACACAAAGCAAGTTCATGTCATCAGCGTTATTACTATAATGTTTTTATTACTCCTAACTAGCCGATTATTACTGTATGTCAGCGCACGATAATAAGTAATTAAAGCTCATCTGATTACGAGCTTTTAATGAATTGGCCAAACACACAACTGACATTCAAATCTGAAAGAACCAGAAATGCAGAACTAGCTTAGCAACCAATGCACTGTACTGTACTGTAGGCCTGGCTTCGAGTTCAACCATGATGGATGCTGTTAACACCACGCAGACAAAGACTTTACGTACCGTTTTCATTCTGCCTGAGAAAAGGCGCACGTACTGACAGTAATTACTCTGCCAGCGCGGTTAAACCCCGCAATAACAGCTGGGGACGGATTGTTGGATCGCATTTCATCTCCTGCCTGCGTTTTCCTGCAAGATGCTGCCCGGCTTTGTCCGATGAAACTGTGCTGCAGCATCATCTAGCGTGTGGCGGAATAACTGTCTCATATTGGATCACGATTGAGAGGAAAAACGAGCAAAACCCGAGGAGGAAAACACATGTGAAGCTGATTATGCCACAATAACACTGCAGATTGAACACAGTGTGTCATAACCACATACAAGTCCCTATTAAATAAGATTTATATCTTGGGAACACCCGCAATTATCTGCAACTAGATGCACCTTCTGCTGTTAAGATTCAGATGAGAGTAATGATTGTGTGTTTTAATGGTTGGGACTTTTTTTGTTTTGATTTGTGGGCCTCTGAGATAGAGATGTGCTCATCCGCTTTGAAAAGTTTCGATTCATTGCGGATGGCTGAAGAAACGCTCTTTAATTGGCTTTACTGTTGCTGCCTCTTAAAGTTTCGTTTCAAACAAAACAGCACTGGAGTTTGGTGTAAAACGAAAGTAACGAGTGTGACTGGTTACGCCGTCCGGTGTAGGGGTTGGACCACTGCCTTTATAAAATGAGGAACCGGTGTTACTTCTCCATTTCTGCGGCGCACCTGGCAGCAGAAGACCTGATGGGACTCCTCAACAAATATGACTGAGGTACATGTGATTTACTATTGTGTAATTATTAGTTTTTATCATTATCAGCGTCTATGAGTTCAACATATTTTATGTTAAGTATATATTATAACATTAAGCATGTGTTTTAATGCCAGAGATGTTTGGAAATTAATCCATGAAATACAAAAAAGTGCATTTGTTCCTTAATTTAATTCCTCAAGAGTTTGTTCTTTGTTGTATTTCTGATACTTTATCTGCATTTCTGTATTGATTCATTGATTCTTTTGCATATGCTCAGATATTTTTTTATTTCCTATTTGTTCATTACCTTCTTTGGTGGTTGGCATGGCCCAATCCTGATGCCAAAATTAGATCTAGAGTGACACATCACATTGCAATAAAAAAAAAACACACATATGAAAATGGACCAAATCAGAATGGAAAGATCAGATTCCATGTTGTTTGTGCTGTTCACACTGTTAAAAATAAAATCAGATCTGAATAACATGTGAGCAAACCAAAACAAAACTCACTTTGGCCTGCAGTTTAAACATGACCTTATACTGCAATCTGAAAGAACTTGTGTCAAACTAGCATAAATGAAGAAAAGGGTACAGTAAATTAGAGTTCTGACTATATTACTTGTGCACCTGAATGCCAGCCTACTAAAATAATTATGCTACTTCCATGAACTAGGTGATTCATAAAACTGGGCAACCCTGCGTACATTAGAACAGCTTTTAGCCTCAGAAATTCCCTATAAGCCGAAGCACTATTAATGCTACTTTTGAAGAGTTCATGCAGGCAGACTCAACAAAATGATCTGGTTACTTTGCTGAATGAAACTAGAAAAACCTGTTAGGTCTTGAACAGCGTTGATGTACAAAGAGATGAATTAGGTTTTCCCAAAAGCTCTATAAAGTTTTGTGAAACAAGCATCAGTTTTACCCGTGTTGACAAATCTTATTCTCCTCTAGTGTCGGTCTGTATAATTAAATACTATGGATCAGTTTTTATTCATGCATCAGTAGTCTGAGGCTGACAATAAATGTCTGAACCATGCTTTTAGTTCTCATATGGTCAAACTCACACAGAGAGAAGTAAATGCAAATTAAAGTAAATAATAAATACTTACGTATATATACAGATCAATACAGGACACAAATTCTGCATTTTTTCCCATTTCTGTTTCAATTTACTCATTTATTTTTTATATATTTTAATTTAATTTAATATAATGTCATACCTATGGCAATGCCAACACAGCATTCGACTTTTTGCTCATGTTTAGAAAATCATTTTAATTTACAGTTACAGTTAGAACAATTTGTATTGTCCAGGACTGCTTAAAATAGTCAGAACTTCATACAGTAGGCAATAATGTCAAAATATGTAGGTTTTTAAACGTTAAAGAACGGAACAAATACTCAGCTCTACTAAGGTATTTATGCAGAGTTACACTAACACCACAGCACTCAAGATTACCTAACCACTTTGACATGCTCAGGCCTTACAGCTTCGTTTTAAGACACAAAGTTTGATGTTCTGCAATGCCTCTTACTTACAACAGTCTTGACTCTCTTACAGTATCCAGATGAGGAAGGATGAGTCAGAGGACAAAGAAAAAGACGCGGTGAGTTGTTTTTCTTTATTTTGGGGGAAATTAAGGAACGTGGTATTTTGACAGTTGTGCCCTGAAGCAATATTTGAGATACTGACACTGATTACTTAACATATGAAATAAGGTCATCCCAGCTAGTGCCTTATAAAAAAAAATCTGATAAAATTCACAACTATCTCTGTAAAAGCTGTTGAATCATAATATTGACAAACATATGCTTGTTATTCATATCATCATCAAATCATCAGATGAAGTTCAGCATGGTGAGAGTAATTGTAAATGACATAAGCATTACTGTTCTTCTGCTCATGTGGAGTGAGCACAAATTCTGTATGTTAGTGTAGAAATATTTGGTAGTTAATGCTTGATTAATGCATTATTTGACTTCATGGGCTCTTGCTTCAGGGGGATTTAATTTTAACTCTAGTTTCTGCTTTGTTTAGGACGTCCTTCGGGGCAACAGCACCGCCCTTCATTGACTACCTGAAAGATATTCTACGTCGATATCCAGATGGTGGACAAATTCTGAAGGTTGGTACAACTCAATAAAGTCAAATACTTATAATAATTACTTTGTGTATCTAATTTTTTTACATAACCCATTAATTGCATTATTCTTATAATCTGTCACAGTACATGCCTGGATTTTGGAAGTCTATTTCTTTTGAACATAATAACTAAATATGTTAATTCTTTTTATTGTTAATCCTTAAAACAGGTGATTTTATTTTATCTACAGACATTTGAATGAACGTATGAAAAACAATATTTATATTGTACGATTTCTTTCTGTGTTGCCAGTAAAACCCATTTATCGCATTATCTTTTGGGATTTTTAATTGGGATTTTTGCAGGAATATACAACATTTATAACAGTGAGAAATACAATTCCCTTTTATGATGTGCCATAGAAGAATAAAAATGTGTATTTTATATAAAAAAAAAACTGATTGTATAAAAACCTTGATGGGTCACCACCATGAGACAGCAGAGAAGAGAATGAGCTTTTGGCAAGATCTGGTTCAACCAATGTATTGTGCATAGTTCCTGCAGAACGAAACAAATTAATAATTTGTTTGCTTATATTGGTTGCATTATATATTACATATTATTTGGGTTGGGTTAATAACTACATCTAACATTTTCATCACATTGTTGTAGGAACCTGTTTAAGACTAGTTGCATGGCTTCATTAGTAAAATGAAATGGCATATGATTAAAATATTTGATCCATATATATCAAGTCTCCTGCTTCAATCGTGAAATCTATGTTTTAATGGCATCTCAGTAGTGAACATCTTGGGATTGTTATATTATTAAATAAAATCAAAACTAAGCGTGTATTATAACCCTTGTTGAATGATAAACTAAATAAACTAATTCTGTGTATGACAGGACAGGAGGCAATCTTGTATGCCAGTAGAGGAAGTGTTATTTTGGTAATTCCCTGTAGTTGATTGTGTTTTTATTTGTATGCTGTTGTTAAATGAACAGCTGACACTGCACACATACTGAGCCAGGATCTCTGGGACAGATGTCTGTCTGCTCTGCTGTATGAAAGGGCAAAACTAATCAAAGTATTCCTGTTGGCTAAAAGCTTTTTGTGTCATGAGTCATTTCCAAAGTCATGAGTCAACCGTGTGCAGCATGGGACAAACTTAATTAACAAAGCAATACACATAATGAATTACTTTACTGTAGTTGTCCAATTTTGTTCTACAGTCCTCTCAAAATGTGAGACTTGACTTGAGGTGCTGAGGTTGAACTTTCTATAGACGCATCAGACACATGGCAGCATTGGATTTCACACTCTCACATGTATTTGTACTTTTTACATCATTCATGCAAACACGTGCAAATACTGCACACTTACCTGACAGAGTGGCATTATCTTGTACATATCAGGCAGGTAGCGCCATGTGTTTTCCATCTGGGTGATATCTGACTCAAGATCTTGTCATCAGTGCGGCCATAGTTGGCACTCTTGATCAGGATGGTACAAAGAAGTTTGATATAATGATAATTGTCCTCCTGGAATACTAGCCTTATTTGTGGTGCTGGCTTTAAAACATGTGCACTGGAGGCCTAAATTGTACGTGCACAGATTGTGTTCAGCTAAAGCTGCATTTGTACCCTTGTCATATAGACTAATTATCCACACTATACAAAAACAATGGCATCACAGAAGATTTTTCATAAGGGTGTGCCCACTGTTGCAAGTGAACCAACTTGGTAATTACTGTTTTGCAGTTTGTGGTTTTAGACATCATTCTAGATAGAGAGTAATTACCTTGCAATTTCAATAGTAATTTAATGCTGCAGCTATTATTCAAAGATGGCAATGCCTAATTGTTCTCAGGAGTTGCAAATTTGATGCATACATCCACTCTCTTAACGTATAGAAGAAAGAAACATGTTGTTAATTCCAATGAGATTGAAAGTACTGAACCCAGATCTTTCTTACTGCTGCAACTTTACTTCCTACTTCCTTGTTGGGTTAATGAATAGAACTGATGAAACCTCTTGGTTGTGGAAGGATCTGCAAAACAGATCAAGTTGCCATTGACTTATAAGTCTTTATGTCCTATAAGCTGAATTTATGACAATTTTCATAAAAATTAACTTAATGTATTGCAGACAGCCATGGGATATGATGGTGCATAAGCTCTTTGTAGTCCCATCAAATTCCAAGGCAACACACTAGAATGAAAAAAAAGTGCTTCAAAAGAATATGTAATTTTTTATCATTTAAACTTTTACTTTTCCTGCTATGACAAGTCAAAATGTCTGATGTGAAAAAGGTCAGGACTATAATGTGACATCGGTCAGCCTGGCTTTTGTTTTACTGTATATAAGTTATGTATGACTATGTAAACGTTTTTGTTGTAATTGGTACTCTTATTTCTTTATTATAATGTTTTCCTAAAACCTTTATCTAATGATATTTTCACTAATTGTATACTATTATGATTTAATTTAATGAACAAATTACAAGAAAGTTTTTTAAAAAGTTTTGCCAGTAGACCTTTCCTAACTGTGGACATTTGATTTGTCAAACATGGGAGTATCACATTTATTGTGTCTGTGTCATTTAGTACATTTACAGTATTTCGCTGAATGAATGAGATTAGCTGGTTAGAGATTAAATGTCATCAAGCTCAACTAACTAGTCTGTGTAGCTTAGATTGGAGCTTGGCACAGTGGAAGTATAAAGGAACATGTGAATCCTTGAGTGTTATCTTTGGTCTGCTATTCTCAATTATGGTTATTGTTTTTATTTGTCAACAGGAGCTAATTCAAAATGCAGATGATGCTCAAGCCACTGAAGTGGTTTTCATCCATGATGAGAGAAGCTATGGGACTGAGAGCCTGTGGACTGATGAACTAGGAGAATACCAAGGTATGCAGGATATCAAGAGAATAGCAGTGTTCTAGGGTGATTATCAACATGAGTTGTAATGTGTTCTTCAAAAAAATATATCATAAAACTTAAAAGCAGGTTCCCAGTTAGAGGCAGGTCACCTTTACTAGCCTGGTGGTTTTACACATTTTGACAAATACACTCAGGTCTCAAGTAGACACATGGTCTGGATTTTTGGATGTATAAAACCTCTTAAAGCCCACAGGGTCGCCTGCTTGTATGAATTTTAAGCTGCTTAGATTTTTCCCATCCTTGCTGAGCAAGAGTTTTGTGCAAAAGGAATTAAATGTCCATCCAATGTGTTGGATGCAGGTTGAGTTCAGTGATTGGAGTCTAATAATAAAAGCCTGGGCTATTAATTAAGTTTACGATATATATTAAAAAAATGATATAGAAATAGAAAAAGGTGGTAGCCCGATGACACAGTTAGCTTATCTCCCTACTTTTTGATGCTCTTCTTTCACGTGGGTTTCCTCCCATAGTCCACTGTGGTTGGCCAAAGAGAACATGTGTAATGTTTTTTCTCATTACCACAAAATTATTATCTTGGTTCTGATCACTTGATAAGATGGCATTAGATTCTTAAATGCTAATTATGTGTATTCAGCAGATGTTATTCATTCTCTGCAATACAGTATATGTCGCTGGTTCTTTGGTATTTATTTTTTTGTTTTTTGCAAAGGTCCTGCTCTCTACGCCTACAACAATGCAGCGTTCACTGATGACGACTGGAAAGGAATTCAGATGGCAGGGAGGAGTGTCAAGCGCGATGATCCAAACAGAGTCGGGAGGTTTGGAATCGGCTTCAACTCTGTTTACCACATAACAGGTAAAACTATGTACATTTACCGCACATATACCCAATAGTCTCAGTTTAAGTTTCAGTCTTTAGAGAACATGCATGGTAAATTAACGGGGCAATGTCTGTTTCTCTATATTCACAGATGTGCCATCCATATTCAGTTCAAGTCATCTTGGCTTCATGGATCCCCAAGAAAAAATATTTGGGGAAAGAGAGGGAGGGTTTTGGTGGTCTTTGAAAGATCCAGAAGACCAAGAAGCTCTGACGACTGTGCATGATCAGTTCCAACCCTTTCGAGATATAGTTTCACTTGTAAGCAGACAAGAATGGTCAAAAGTTGTCATGGAGGATGAGCACTTTGACGGAACAATTTTCAGATTCCCCTTGCGCAACAAGGCTTCAGATATTTCAGATAATCTATATGACTCTGACAAGGTGGTTGATCTTTTTGATAGCTTCATTGCAGATGCAGAGTTGAGCCTCCTGTTCTTGAAAAATGTGACGTCTGTGTCCTTGGTACATATCAATGTACATGGTAGTGTCAACACCAGACTTGAAGTGAAATCCTCAGTCAACACAGATGTCATTTTGGAGTCAGAAGATGAGTCAATCATTAAGGGTTCAACAAAGTACAAATTGATAACCCTCAGCTCAGAAGACCAAAAAGAAACAAAGTGGCTTGTGACAACATGTACCATGAAAGAAGGCAATGTAGATTGTCTTGATTTACTCGCAAAAAAGTTATGCTTTTTCCCACAAGTCGACTTGGCATTCCCTTGTGGTGAGAAGAGAGACTGTAGTCAAAGTAGACTGAGCTGCTTTCTCCCCCTCCCAAACAATGAATCCAACAAGACAGGACTCCCAGTTTATGTCAACGCGTGCTTTGGCCTCACAGACAACAGAAGACACATCAAGTGGCAAGAGGAAGACCAGAAACATGATGAACATGCTGTCTGGAATGAATTACTGATGAAAGAAGTGCTCCCACAGGCATACTTATTGATTATTCAAGATGCTATCAAACTTGCCCAAGAAGTTTCTCTGCCCGTCTCTTCCGTGTACGATCTGTGGCCAGATATTGCCCAGATAAGGCACAAAGACAAATGGCTTGCTTTTGCTCTGGATGTTCTTCAACACTTATTCAGACAGAATGTGGCTGTCCTCTCTCTCGCCAGGGACGAAAGAATGTTTATCACTCCATCAGAAGCTGTGTTCCCCTGTAATGGCCCAACAAGCCCTGACATACTGGCCGCCATCAAAAGGACTTTGGTGTCCTGTGGAGAAAATCTTGTCACTTTACCAAGTAGTGTTGCAAGAGCTATAGAAGAAGCCTATCCACACGTCAACACCCTAAAACATGTGACGCCAGCTTTCTTAAGGGACATTCTTCGCACGTCTGGTGTGGACTTCATCTCTGAAGACGACAAACTCTGTCTTTTGGAGTACATTTTGAGTGATGGAAAATACAGAGAACTCGAGGGTCTTCAACTGCTTCCACTCAGTGATGGCTCTTTCAGATCTTTCACAGACAGACAGGAGGACACTGCTCTAATTGACAGCAACAAATTTCCAAGGTAGGGTTTCTATTTTTGAATCCTACTATTGATAAAAACGTTACTGCTAATGTGTCTACTGTTGGAAAAATTGGCATTTGCTTATATATATTTTTTTTATGATCATTTCGGCCTTACATCCTCACTAATTCCAATTACCATCACTATTATTACACTATTAGTATCATTTACTTTGTTCACATTAACCATAGTAATTTAATCAATTGTTATTATAAAATATAGATGGGTGCAACTTTAACTATGATGCTATAAGAAGGTAAATACGGTAGGTGTGGGCCTACAGTATTTACCTTACAGTCTCATATGCTCTGATTATATAATAATGGCAGTGCATTCATACAGGAACCATAAAAAATTGTTCCAGACCTTAGAAAACACCAAATATGTTGCTCAAATTTTCTTCATGATATGATCAACAGCAATGTTGTACTTTTTACTTTTTGCTCTTAAAAGACTATATTAAATCGATAAACACATGTTATAGTGTTAGAATAATTTACTGTAACTTAAAACAATTATATCATACTAGGTTTGGATGTTTGCAAACACAGCTCAACACAGGTGATCAGCTCACACTTACTTGCTTCAGTACATTATTGCCATTGCCATTATTTTATCTCTCTTGGATTACATTTTAAAATAATGTCTATTTTTATATTAAAATGATTTTGTTACATTCACAGTAAATAAACTTATCCTTTATACAGAGTCTTGCTACCATGCTGCCACCACCTCTTCATCCCAGATGATCTCAGTCCAGCCTGCAATACCCACCTGAAAGAACTGGCCGGAAAAAGTAGGACTGCCATTTTATAGAATACTGTGATGTAAAAGTTATTTGCATATTTTCACGCTATATATATATATTAATCAAAATCTACTTTTCAGATTTATTCAAGGTCATCAACATTGATGCTGACCAGGTGGCTGAATATACAAGGAGGTATTTGCCACAGGACTGGAAGCAGGTGAGGGAAGGGCTTGTAACCTGGAACATCGGCAAAGGTCAACATCCACCTTTGGACTGGCTCCAAGAATTCTGGAAATTTCTCAACACTCACTTCAGAGAGTTAAGTGATTTTATTGGAATGCCATTGATACCAGTCAGTCCCTTGTCTGACAGTCAGTCTGTATCACTAGCAAGACTACAGCAGAACACAACACTAATTTTTCAGAAAAGCAAGCAGATTAACTTGCCAGAACAAATAGCTCAGTTGGTGAACAAAGTTGGTGGCACAGTGGTGAGAGGAAACGAGTGGCTCAAGCATGAAGACCTACACTCTTATGTACTGTGCCCATCTCCTGAAAGTGTCATGAAAGTCTTGGGGAATTTAGATTCTCAAAATCTCATCAGAAAACTTGAGACTGCCTCTCCCAGACAACGAGAAGAACTCAAAGATTATCTCTCTCGTCTGGATTCTGTCTCAGTCAATGAGAAAGATTTACTCTTAAAGTTGCCTCTGTTCCAAACCATGAAAGGATCCTGTGTTCCAGCTCAATCAAAACAGGCTGTGCTCCTAATTTCTGGTCTAACAGTACCAACAGAGTTCCCTATGCCTGATTCAGTTGTGCAGTGTGCAACTGAGGCTGATCGCAGACTGTTACAGCTGCTCAAAGTTAAACTCTTGGACACAGCTGAAGCAGCCAATCTTCTCATTGGCTGTATTGAGAGGGGGGCTTGCAAAAAAGATGACACTGAGAAAATCATGACTTGGATTTTAGAGCATGGTACTATCCTTTTCTCTCAAAATCCGACCTTGAAAAGCAAATGTAAGGACCTGAGATTCATTGAAGTTAATGGAGAGTTGAAAAAGACCTCAAGCTTTTTTGATCCAACAATTAAAACTTTTAAAGTCATTTTTGAGTCAGATTTCTTCCCCCCACCTTTATACACTCAAACATCGCAAATGCTTGAAAGTCTCAGAGATCTTGGATTGCTAAATAAAGAAGTAGATGTATCACCTCAGCACTTGTTGCATGCTGCCACACTGATTGACCAACTGAATGTCGACTCCCAAACTGACGCTGGTAAAAGAGCTCAGGTGCTCTTGAAAATGTTGGATACTAATGATCTACTGTCAAAGTTTTCTCAGGACCAGCTTCGTTCCCTTAAAATGCTGAAATGGGTCCCATGTGCTAAATGGGGTGATGACAAAAAACCCTGCAATGACAAATCTCAGGAAAGTTGTGTCTTCTGTCCAGATGAAATAAGACATTCTATATATGAGGACATTGTTGGGCATGTAATGCCTCTAGTGGGAAAATTCAGTGACAGTGTTACCAACAAACTTGGTCTTAGAAGCCTACCCCCACCTGAAAAAGTGGTAGAGAATTTGTCAGTCTTGGCATCAAAAGCACAAACAATGACTGATCCTGACACTAATGTGGATTTCAAAAGGAAGTTGCGTAGCATTTATGAACACATGCAAAACCACATCTCTGAATTTACAACATTGATGAACAAAGACACACGATGGTTGTGGAACCATAACCAGTTTGTATCACCACAGGATCTGGTTCTAGACTACCCACGCAATCTAGATCTGAGCTCTTACATTGGGAAGGTGCCAAATGAATTTCTGCCATACAAGAGATTGCTCCAGGAGTTTGGTCTGAGAACATCACTTTCAGATGAAGAAATTGTTGGCATTCTTCATTCTATCCAGCAAACCATTGAAGAAAGGCAACAGCCATTGGCAAGTTCCTCTGAGATAAAAGTGTCAATAGAAATTCTTAACTGGCTATGGAGAGAAAAGAAGACAGTTCAGAATGACATCCCAGTGCCAGTCCTCATAGAGGGTGAACAATATACTCTCAAACCACTGTCAACAGCAGTCTTCTGTGATGTAAGCAAAAATGGTTTAAATGAGCTTAATGACAGCCAGGAGGAAATTCATGTCGTACATGAGGAAATCCCTAAAGCAACCGCTGAATGGTTGAACATCCGATTCCTCAGTACATACATCCTTGATCCAGAGTTAGTGGGAATAGAACAGTGTGGGCAATCTGAACCAATAACAATGAGGATTAAAAACATTCTTAAAGAGTATGATGAAGAAAGTGACATCTTCAAAGAGCTCATTCAAAATGCTGAGGATGCTGGGGCAGACGCCTGTAAATTCTTGATGGATTTCAGAGTGCACAAAGATGCTCCTGAAAGTCTCATTGATCCTGACATGGCCCTTTGTCAGGGACCTTGTCTTTGGGCATTTAATAATAAGCTGTTCACAGATGAGGATTGGAAAAATATTGTCAGAGTTGGCTCTGCCTCAAAGGAAAACATGGTGGAGAAAATTGGAAAATTTGGACTTGGATTCAATACGGTGTATCATGTGACGGATGTTCCTTCTATCCTCAGTGGCAACAGTCTACTCATACTTGATCCAAATGTAACTCACCTTAAGAAGCACATCAAACATGGAACAAATCCTGGAATCAAGTTGAATCTCTCTGTACAACGACATTTTCGTTGTTTTCCTGGTCAGTTTGGACCATATGAACGCATATTTGATTGTAATTTCACCAAACAAAGTCCCCCTAAACCCTATCCAGGCACTCTGATCAAACTACCTTTCCGAACCAAAGAAGAAGCTCTCAAGTCAGAAATAAGCACAAAAGTGTATCACAAAGACAATATCATCAACTTTCAACAGCACTTAACTGAGAATTCACAAACTCACCTGCTGTTTCTGAAGAACATCAATACATTATCTCTACAAAGTATCTCAAAAGATGGATCAGTTCCGCCAAGAGATGATGAAATAGAAACTGTCCTTACAGTCTCCAAAACCACTGTGAGTACAATGAGGATTCCTGATGAATCCAATGTGTCAAAGCAACTTCAAGCTGAGAAATCATTGATGAAACTTGATGGAAAATGCAAAGAGGTCATTGACTGCTGCAAAGTCAACATTGTCCAAATAACCAGTCAGCAATCTGGTGTTAATGAAGTCCAGTCCTGGCTCCTATACAACTGCTTTGGGACACATCAGTCTATGAAAATCTCCCTTCAAGAAAACAAGCAAGCCAAATTCTCTTTGCCCATAGGGGGGGTTGCTGTGCCTTTGCAAAATAATCCAGAAACTGGGAAAATGGCCTCATTACAAACAGATCTTGTTGGACAGGCATTTTGCTTCCTCCCCCTTTCCATTCACACAGGTCTTCCAGTCAATGTAAATGGAACATTTGCTGTGACAAGCAACCGAAAAGGTCTGTGGGAGAGTGGAGTGAAACATGACTGGAACAAAGCCCTTCTTCAGGATCCTGTAGTGACGGCATATGTTACTGCACTCTTGGCACTAAAGAAAATGTCTGAAAACGAGCAACTGGAAACTTACAGTTATCACACCTTTTGGCCTGATAGAGAGAAAGTGAGTGAAACATTCAAGCCTTTGGTGGATGCATTTTACTCCATAATTGCCCAGCACTCCACTGGTCCAGAGCTCTTTAGTGATGGAGAACATTGGTGCTCAATGAACAGTGCCATATTTCTACACGAGAGCATTGAAGAGGATGAAGACATCAGTGCACTTGTAGCGCAGGTGTGCAAGAAACATGCAAAAGCACCCAACCAGGTTGTTCCTCTTCCACTGTGGTTAAGAAACAGCTTCAAACAGGCTGGCCTGGAAAAGGTTTTACAGAACAGAACATGGAACTGGAAGAAGTTTTACCAAGAAGCAGTGTTCAACAACCTTACTACCTTGGACCCTCAGAGTAGAGATAATCTTGTGCTGCATGCTATTGACCTTAACATCAAAGAAATTGACAATCTACTGATCTGCTATCCATGCATCCCTACAAAAGGTGGACAACTCCAGTATATCAAAAAACTTGTGAATCCGTCAGGGAAAGTGGCCTGTCTCTTTGAACCAGAAGAGGGACGCTTGCTTGGCGGTACCAAAAATGACTTTTGCTCCCCAAAAAGGATTCAGCGCTTGTTGGAACTTGGAATGGCAAATGACCATCTCCCATTGGAAGATATCACAGACAAAGCAGGCACAATCACCAAAACCTGGAGCACTGACAAAAAGAAAGCATATGGGCATATGAAATGCCTTCTTGAACTTATGAAGAACCACATGAATGACAAAGACTCTCCCCACTGGGAAACACTGAGGATGACTGAATTTCTCCCAGCATATCGCCCCGGTGATACAAGAATGGAAAGAAATGCAACACTTGGAAGGCCCACTGATATTTTTTGTGACAAATGCTCCCTACTTGTTAACATGACAAAACCTGTGCTGGATCACAACAATCTGAAAATACACAACACCGATCCAGTCTTACAGATTTTGGGAGTTCGTGACATTCCAAGCCCTGAGACTGTGCTTCAGCAACTGCAAGTAGCATGTAAGCAATCTCAATCTATTGACAGCACCGTGATTCACAGCATAGCATATGAATGCTATAAGTTTCTGGATGAGTGGCTCATTGATTCTGAGAATTCCAGTTTCATTTCACAGAGGGCAAATTCATTCCCATTTATTCTTGTTGGCAGTGCATTTGTAAATGTGAACCGTGTGGCAGAGAATGAGCAATTTGAAGCAAAACCCTATCTCTATGTACTTCCACCTGCCTTCACTAGTTTCAAGAGGCTCTGGGAAAGTGTAGGTGTTGGAAAATGTTTTACTACCAGTCAGTTTCAAACTGTGCTCCAGGAATTGCACTCTCAACATGGCAACAACCCCCTGCCAAAGAGTGATCTATCAATCTGCCTCACAATTTTGAACATAGGCATATATAGGGCCAAAGAGAAAACAACAGGGGATTGTCTCATACCCAACGAACATGGAGTTTTACAACCTGCAAGTGAGATGTTTTACAATGACAGTGCATGGATACCAGTTTCATCAGGTGTCACATTATGCCACGAGAATATCCCACGTGTTATGGCTCGCCACTTTGGAATTAAAACTACCAGGCATCATACTCTGCAAAATCACATTGTTGAGAACATTTCACCATTTGCTTTTCAGTTTGAACAACAGGAACAACTCCCTGTTCGAATTAAAAACATAATTTCAGCCTATCCATCAAAGAAGGATATCCTAAAAGAGCTTTTACAAAATGCTGATGATGCAGAAGCAACAGAAATCCACTTTGTTTGGGACAAACGACAGCATGGCAAAGAAAAAACATTTGGGAAGAAATGGAACCAACTGCAGGGTCCAGCACTGTGTGTGTTTAACAACAAAGTGTTTTCTGATGCTGACCTGCATGGGATTCAACAACTGGGAGAGGGGGAAAACACAACACAGCAGGGAAGACAGGGAAATACGGAGTGGGATTCAACTCTGTTTATCATCTCACTGACTGCCCCTCAATTCTCACTGGAGATCAATTACTCTGCATTTCTGATCCCAATCAGAAGTACATTGAAAGTCATTTAGACAAACCACCAGTTGGCATTGGCTATACACTAGCCGACACTTTCAAGAACATGTACATAGATGTCTACAATTCCTTTCTTCCTGACAAATTTTCTCTTAAAGAGGGTACCATGTTCAGATTACCTCTAAGGATGGGTAGCATGGCAGACAGCTCTAAAATATCAAAGCAGGAAGTCACTGCCCATGACATAAACGAACTATGTTCTTTCCTCTCTGAGGATCCTGAAGGACTAATTCTGTTTCTGAAAAACATCTGCAAAATAAAAGTACATGAAATCAATGAACAATCAGGGGAACTCAAAACCATCTTTGTGGTTGAAAAAAGTCTACCACAGACAAGCAAAGAAGAAAAAGATGCTTTTGTCAAACTTCAACAAAATGCACTACAATCTGACAAACCAATAACACCACAGCAGGCCATTTATGGAACCATAATTTCAACCTCAGATAAAAGACAAAGTAAATGGATCATTGCAGAACAGTTTGGCTCATCCAAAGACAGTGGTGGAAGAGAAACAACACTATCAGACAAACTACCCCAAGCAGCAATAGCGGGCCTTGTAGGCAGAAAGATGTGCAAGAGTTTAGCACCATCCAGTCAAATGGATTTCATGGGAGAAGCCTTTTGTTCACTTCCTTTGCCAGGGAAAACTGGACTACCAGTGCATGTCAATGCAAACTTTGAGGTGGATTCTGCCAGGAGAGGTCTTTGGAAAGAAGATGGGCAAAGTCAAAAATCTAACTGGAATGAATCTTTGAAACAGAATGTCATTGCTCCACTGTATGCCAATCTCCTTTATTACATCAGCCATAACACTGCAAATAAGAAAGGCCCTTTTGCCCAAATTGAGTCATACTTAAGTAGCTCATACTTACGTTTTTGGCCAGCTGTGTCTGAAAATGTTGGTCAGGATTGGCATGAAATGATACATGAGGTATACAGATCAATCCAAGAAAGAGGCCTCAATGTGATCCCAGTGCTGAGGAGTTCAACACGTCTAATTGCAAGCCGAGAAATTAAAGAGTACTCTTTTGACTGGTGTGATGTCAGAGAAACTGGATCAACTAAGGCACCTTACCTGGCACTATCAGGAGACAGAGAGATTAATTCCATTTTGGAAGATCTTGGAATGACATTGGTTCCTTTTTCCATGGAAATGCAAAAAGTTTGGAATAGTTTCAGAGTTGCTGGTGTCAAAGTGAAAGATGTGAATCCTTCAACTGTGCAGACCTTCCTGAGAGAAAAACCCCTCAATGACCCAGCCCAAACAGACAAGGATTTACCCCTGCCCATAACTGCCACTCTGATCAGAGATGAAAACAGATGTTCAAAACTCTTGAGTTTCTGCTTGTACGAGTTTGAGAGAGTCAAGAAAAAGGTCACAGAAGACTGTTCCACTTTACTCGATGGGCTTCCACTTCTTCTCACAAGAGATAAAGTTTTGAGAGTTTTTAACTCTAAATCTCCCAAGCTGATGTCAGGATATGAAAGTCTGTTCTTTGGCTACGAGGAACAATTTGCAGATTACAGAACCAACCAACACCACTTTCAGGTTCTACAAACTTTCAATCTTGTAAAACATTTAACAGTTCCCTGTGCAGCAAAATATCTTAAGCCAGTAATTCAGCTTCTTCTTCAGAACTGTAAAGTTGACCCACACACTGGTCTTCATGTCCCAGACGAGACAACACTAAAGTGGCTGAAATTATTTTGGATGTTCTTAACAAGTCAAATTCAACCTGCAACATCTAATGGTGATAAACCAGGTCTGACACTAAGTGATGTTAGACAGCTCTTCAATGAGTGCTGCATTTTACCTGTTGTGTGTCCAAGGTTAAACAACACGCACTTCCTGCAAACAATGAAAGACATGCCAAGTGTGATTCAATTCGCTTCAGAAAGGGACATATCAGGCATCCTCTTTAAACTTGGTTTTATGAAGCTTGATTATGTATTCTTCTCGGAGGTACACAGAGACCGACATGTGCCTTCACCTCTACACTCTGAACTTATGGATGTAAATGATAAAATCTATGTGTTGGACCAGGTCTACAAGATTAACCACTCAGAGTTTTCCCAGCTTTCTGTTGATGAGATGAAAGAGCTTCAGCGTTTCCTGCAGGAAGGAGTATCCAAGTCAAAAGACAAACAAGAGTACCAGAGAAAGCTCAAATCCTTACCATTATTTGAAACAATACATGGTAAACGAATAAGGATTGATGGACCTAAAGAGGTATTTATCCTCAGTAGCACACTTGCAGGGACATTTCCAGATTTGTTCATCCTGCCTGACAGCAACAGCATTTTTCTTCAGAACAATCGAGAGAATGGCAGTCTGTCAGAAATATTAAACATCAAAATCCTGACTGATTTGGAGTATTTCATGAAGTTCGTTCTGCCTGTTATACATACATTCACAGAGAGCCAGCTGCTTCAATGCCTCAAACTGTTACTACATCATAATTTCAATTATTTTCAGTATAAAGACAAAATCCTCTCCTCATTGAAGGAAGTGAAACTGATTCGTAATTCTCAAGGCAGATTAGAGACAGTGTCATACTACTTTGATGATAGCGTTGAACTATACAAGAAAATGCTGCCCCAAGAGAGATTTGTGCCGAAGAGATTTTGGTCTGAGTTGTGTGAAGAAAATGTACATACAACCCAACAACTAAAAGGGTTACTCAGAGAACTTGGAATGAAGCATGTTGTATCAAAAGATGACATAATAAAGTTTGCACACCAGTTAGAATCAGAAGCAAAAGGAAACTGTAAATTTGAAGAGCTGGAACAGAAATCATCATTGATTTTCAAAGCAGCCTTGAAAAAAGTGAGTGATGACAAAGAAGAGGAAAGGTTGCTGGAGAACATAGCTGACATCAAGTTCATTTTTCCTGTGAAAATTCGAAAAGAACTGTGCAACTATCACCAACCATTTGCTACTGAGAGAACTGCTGTTAAAATCAGAGGGTCTTTGATTGAAGGTGATTCTAAGCATCAAGAACTGATTTGGTCTTCAATGCCAATTATACATGTACCAGTGTATAAGTCACAGAAGCTGCTGAAAATGCTGAAAAATGCCGGCGCTCATGAACAACCACCTCCACACTGTGTAACCAGCAACATGAGCAACATCTGTCAGTCAGCTTGTAAAACTGACAATTTGAAAAGCCGTGCTAATGTGTTTAGAAGTTCGTATGCCTACCTGCAAGCAAACAAGTTTGAAGGCCAATCACTGGCTGATACTCCTGTTGTGTTGGTTGAAAGAGACACAGAACTCGTGAGGGCTGATGATGCATGTCTTTCACTCCCCCATAAAAGTGAGTTCAGACCATATTTGTACAACATTTCTCCGGAGGATGTCATATATGCAGAGTTCTTCAAGAAAATTGGTGTAAAGGACGAACCTACTGCAGTTCAGTATTGTAATGTTCTGGCAGCAGTTTATGCTGATTCCTGTGATAAACCACAACTAAACCCAAACCAACAGAAAACAGTGAAACGTGCTGTTGAGCAGTTTTTTAAGTTAATCAAAACTAAAGGAAACCAGTTAATTGTTGACGCTCTAAAGACTTTGTATCTTCCTGCTGTAGATGGTAAATTATACCCATCAAGCGAACTCTACTACAATGACACCGTGTTTGAGATCAAAAGATTGGAAAATGCACTGGAGAATAAGTTCCTGTTGCTTGAGAAACTAAGTGAATGTCATTTGGACCTTGACATCTATGAGCATCATCGGTTGCTGCAATTGCTGCCTCCGAAATTTCAGCCTAAAATGCTGTCTGATTTCACTGAGGAGAAAGTAGTGGAATCACACATGGAGCTTTGTGAGCTTGACACTGACTGTCAGTTTAGTCAATGGTTTGACAAACACCTATCCTCAGCAGAGTTCAGACATGGACTAATTTGCCTTATCAGAGAACAGTCTATGGGAGAAATAACACAAGAGGACGCTACTGACATGTGCAAGAAGATTTTTGGCAGTATTCAGATTGTCTGCTGCAGAAACCTTAAAACTGAGCTTTGGGTGGATAAACAGCCACTACACAGAACTGCCACTAAAACTGATGTTTTTGTCAAACGAGGGAAACAAGGTTGCATCTTTTACTTAAAACACAACGATACCATGCATCTCAAGGTGATAAATGACATCAATATGACATTGACAAAGGAGATTAATGCTCTTTTAAGTAACCGAATCGCCGCAATTCACCTCCCAGTCCTCGGACAACTTCTCACATGTAACAGCCTGCAAGACGTTCAGGAAATTCTGGCTAAGAATGGGATCCGTGACAGTGCTGAAATCGAAAGCCTCTTCTTCAATCCACCAGCCCCTGGAACAGATATTCCAGAGGAATGGCATGATTCCTTAGACATGAATGTCCTCAATAACTTTGAAGAGGGGGAATATGTTGGCTACAACACTAGCAACAAGTACATTTATGCAGTTATTGCTGAAGAACTGCCTGGGCACTCTGGACCATATTCACGGCGATACAAAATAGAAATTGGAGAAGATGAGCCAATTGAAGTCAGTTGTCTTGACCTGTATCAGTTTAAACGACAAAAGAAACCAGAAGCCAAAGGGAAGACATGCACATCTGCTGAAGCTTCCAGCATGGAGCTGGAGCTGCTAGCAGGAGCTGTGCCACATTCGTCCCAATCATCATCTACAAGATCCTCACCAGCCTCTCTTGACGAAGCCAAAAGGGAAATTGACAAATGTTTGGAAGAGATCTGGACTCTTCCTGAAGAGGAGCGGCATAAAGCCATCAAACGACTGTACCTGAGATGGCATCCTGACAAAAACCCTGAATGCCAACTTCTCGCCACTGAAGCATTCAAATACTTAAACAATCGAATTGATGAGCTCGTCAAGGGTAAAGGCAAAGGCAAAACTACAGGCCCGTCCTATTCGAGGGGAAACTCCAACTTCAGAAACTTCTATGAGCAATGGAATCAGGAGGCCAGGCAACACAGAGATGGTCGAGAGAGATTCTCTAGAGGCCACCAGTCCTACAACTTTTGGGCCCATAATGAAAATGTCCCAAGGCCGAACAGAGAGGAGGCCCAGCGTTGGTGTAGACAGGCTCGCTGTGATCTCAATGCAGCTTACAAAGACGCTGGTGGGGGGAGCACAGAATGGTGTCTCTTCAAAGTTCATCAAGCAGTGGAAAAGTCTCTTATAGCTGCAGAGTATAAAAGACGTGGGCAATATCAAACCAACAGCTCCATTTCAGCCAGAGCTGCACAAGTTTCCCTGTACAACATCCAACTGAGAGTTCTGCCTCAAATTGTGGAAAATCTAATGACACTGGGAGTGGATGCCAAAAAGACTCAGTATCCTAAATACCATCAATTTCCCCATATTCCAAATGGACAGTTCAAATCAGAGAATGAAATATTAGCAGTGGACACGGCATCTGAGCTTCTCAGTAAAGTAGAGGCATATGTAAATTAGGGATTCAAGACAGACAAGTCATGTTGGCAGTCAGTTTAAGATTTTGACATGTTAACATAACACAACATAGCATGACTTCAAACAAAAGACTGCATAAAGTAAGAATGATATGACTTATGAATATTTTTTTTAGGATTCTTCACTTTAGAATAATCTATACATGACTACATGAATTTGTTATGTAAATGTGAATATCAAAGCATTTTGTGTATTGTTGTAGACATTCATGACTACTTACTGAGGACCAATATAATCAGTGTAGAACTTTTTCATGGAATGAAATTGAAGTTTTTGTTTTTTGTTTATTTTTTTTTTTCAATGTTGTAAAGAATTCAAAATTACTCACTGAGGTCTAGTGACTTTATGAAAATGCCAATAGCAAAGTCTTTTATTTTTTTATGTTGTTAACATTTATATCTTCTCACTGAGGACCAGTATGGTCATTGTACAACTTTGTTATGTAATGAAATTGAAGTTTTTATTTTTTGTTTAGTTTTTTTGCAGTGTTGTAAACAATTAAAAACTACTCACTGAGGACCAGTGACTTTATGATAATGCAAATAGCAAAGAATTAGTTATTCAACGTTGTAAACATTTATATCTACGCACTGAGGACCAATATAATGAGTGTACAACTTTGTTATGGAATGAAATGGAAGTTTTATGTTTAGTTTTTTTTCAATGATGTAAACGATTATATCTACTCACTGAAGACCAATATAATCAGTGTAGAACTTTTTTATGGAATGAAATTGAAGTTATTGTGTTTCGTTTAGTTTTTTGCAATGTTGTAAACAATTAAAACTTACTTAGTGAGGACCAGTGACTTTATGAAGATGCAAATAGCAAATCATTTTTTTTATGTTGTAAACATTTATATCTACTCACTGAGGACCAATATAATCAGTGTAGAACGATGTTATGTAATGAAATTGAAGTTTTTGTATTTTGTTTAGTTTTTTTGCAATGTTGTAAACAATTAAAACCTACTTAGTGAGGACTAGTGACTTTATGAAGATGCAAACAGCAAAGTTTATTTTTAATGTTGTAAACATTTATAACTACTCACTGAGGACCAATATAATCAGTGTAGTTCTTGTTATGGAATGAAATGTCAATGTGTTTTTTGTTTTTTTTCAATGTTATAAACAATTAAAAAAAAAAACTTAGTGAGGACCAGTGACTTTATGAAGATGCAAATAGCAAAGTTTTTTTTCCAATGCTGTAAACATTTATGACTTCTTACTGAAGACCGATATAATCAATGTATAACTTTGTTATGTAATGAAATTGAAGTTGTTTTTTTTTTGGTTTAGTTTTTTTGCAATGTTGTCAACAATTACAACTACTTACTAAATACCTATATAATCAATGTATAACTTTGTTATGGAAATGCAGATGTCAAATAATTTGGAGGAATTTTGTCATCCTAATTCATTTTTGTTTTATTACCATTTACCTTCTGAAATAAAAAATAAATTTTATCAAGAATGAAACTGCAAGTCATGTTTCACATTTTGTGAATAAAACTGGCCTGGGGTGGACACAGTATTACTATAATTAGTGAATTGGGAATGATTACTTCCTCTCCTTTTCCTGATGATAGTATGTATTAAATCCTAAAAGGTAATTTTTTAGAGGAATACTTGATCAGTGAGGCATTTGATAGTGTTGTGTATGAAGTGTCTCTGAAAAAGCATATTTAATTTGGTTTCAAACCACCTGTTGTTTGAGGGAAATTTCCACAATATTAAGAACTGCCAATAATAAAAACATTATATTGAATCTGTAGGCTAGAGTGATGGGACTTTTTGGTATCTGTAAAAGTTGCTTCACTGTACCATAAATCACAAAAACTCAGTCTGAGTATGTTTTCAAATTTAACTTTAAAGCACTCATGCTGACCTGACAAAGGTCTAGCGTGTAGGATTTAGTGGCATCTAGCAGTGAAGTTTCATATTGCAAGTAATTGAACACCTCTTTCTGTATTTGACGACCTGGGAATGAGAACAGGCTGTGAAGTGTCTAAGAGGAACTATGGCAGCCATGTAACTGGAAAAAAACCCAAAGCTCCCCATCTTCAGCCAGTATGTGGTTTGTCCAGTCTGGGCTACTGTAGAAACATGGTGGACTCCATGGAAGGTGACCCATGGTGTCTGTATGTATGTATGCCGTGTACGGCTGTGAAAACATGATAACTATACAATATTCAGGTGACTATACACTAATAAAAACATACCTATGGATATTATATTCCATTTCTGCCAACAGAGCCTCCTAAATGTTACACACATTAAACTATTGAATTTTTATTTAGCAGCTCATTTGAAGAGCATCCATTATTTTAAAAGTTCTCTTTCTCCCTCCATCCATTACATGATTTGGATATATAGCTATGTATATTAATGTGTGTGGTTCTCACTGTGCGGTTATTATATTATCTGTTTATTATTATAGCTAATAACCCAAGCTTCAAGCACTTTCGTAAAGCTTCACTGTTCTTACTGATTCAAAACTGGCGTCTTAATGTAAAACTAAACAAACCAAACAAACGTCATAGGGTCACCTGCCAGCCAATAAGAATCGCAAATTTTCAGTGTCGTCACGTCCAGGCTAGCCTCTGTTCCATTAGCTTCTCATGTAGCATTTCTTTATGAAAAAAGGATGTTCTTGAGATTTACTTCCCATATTCTAAGACAGGACAGCATCCAATACAATCATAACTGAAAGATATTGAAACCTTGGTTTAAACAAAGTAAACATTTACTATGTGAGCACAGACAAATCTACAGCTCAGTGTGGGTGTCCATGGTTTTTACCATAACCTTTAACTGAAACTGAAAGTGTGTGCCCCAGAAAAAAAAAATAACACACTGACCTAACTTAAAATATTCTTATTGGACAGGACACCTGGATGTTCAGTTGCCAGTGAAGACAAACATTTCAAGTTAAAAGCACTTTTTTATTCATTAAGAAATCATGTTATGAAAATAATGACAACTAACCATATATCAGACAAATGTATCTTTCCATATGTTAACAACAAAAGTTTGCTCTGGAGGATGTGACATCTCAGCAGTTACCAGAGCATAACTGTCTCTTCCTTGTGCTCGGAGTGTGCTTCGTCTCACCCTGGAAGTGGCCAGTTCCCACTGTACTTTCATACTATAAAAATGTTCACAAGGCTTTTCATGTCTCATCCCAATGTCCACACATGAGAATACATTTCAAATAATTTTTGTTTGTGGGGGAGAAACTTCACATATATACCAGATTCAGTCTTTGTGTAATGCTTCCTGTCGTCTCCTCAATCTATTAATAATTTACACAAAAACCTGTACATACTTACAACAGGCTGGAGCCTGTTTCTGAAGGGATGTGCACATAGAAAAAAAGAAGCAACATACAGGGAAGTGAATCTTTACAAAGTAATAATAAGGTGGGAGGTTATGGTGTTACGAGCATATTAGACACTTGCCTCATACGGTACATGCAACTAACAACATTTTTCAACTCTCATTCAACCTTATGGCTCTCATAATGAGGCTATAACTTTCTGCATCAAACCCATATCAACTACGATTTATTCCAGTCTTTTGCTATAAAACACATTCAACACAGCTGACAATAGGGACAAACATTATTAAAAATATTTATGGAGAATGTGTGTGTGTTTGTAATGGCTGATGTTAGGATCAAGTATATTCATCTTAGATCAAGACTTTGGGTGCAATAAAAGCAGGATTTACCATACCTAACCTCCCTCTGCATATTCCCTCCCTATCCAACAGCTGATAAACTTCACAAAATTAAGTTAAACAGGAGCTGGGATAGGAACAGGCATCTAAAAAATAACACTTAAGGCTTAATTCATATCATTTGGCACGTTGCTAATAGTAAGCAACGATTACACTCCCCACCATCTCATGACTTCGAATGATCGGCACTTACTGTCTGCTGTCATTCAAAGCAACATCTTTCACATCACTCATATTGCATTTTGTTCAGATAAAACAACAACTATATTACACATTTTAGATAGAGAAAAGAATGAGATTGAGTCAAACCACAACATTATTTCTAAGGTTTCTGTTATTGACACCAAAAACTAAAGCACTACTGCTGGAATGAGCAACAAATAACACCAACTGCCCCCTCGACCAACACTGCTGTGTGCTTCTTTGTTGACACAATAACATGGCTGCAACCATAATTTGAAGAGCTGATGTACGTGGGATAGACTTTTTCTATGAAAAGCATACAACCTGCAATGGCACAGGAGGCTCTGTGAACATGAAACATAGGGTTATGGTACTGCCATCTGTCCCGTTCTATGGCACAAGTGCGTGGCAAACAACATTTCTGGAGACTGACAAAGTAAATTATGTTAATGGCACAGTGTAGTATTATACTATAACCACCTGCTGGGCTGCTATCGGGTGTCCTGGGTTTAGAGAGTCAGACGTTATAAATACAAAACTCACGTCAACAAAACCAGAATGCCCATTGAAACATTATTTGTTGAGGCAAGAAATCACAGGGAGAAACAGACATGAAGTTTCTGTCACTCATTTCTCTTGGAATTTCACTCCATTTTAGATAAGTCAAAAAATGTTTACGTATGTAGTTTTGCATCCACGTTTTCTTTCATATTTCCACTCCGAGAGCTGAAAGAGGAGGTCAGCTTGCTTTCTTTCAACAGAAGCCATACTGACATCGGGCTTGCATCAATTATAAGCCCCATATTTACTGTCCTGCTTTCTCCTGTTGTGTGATAAGCTACATGGAGGTGTAAGCACCCTGCCCGCAGCAGGGCCCTCACATGTTGTAAGCCACATATATTGGGTCCAGCTGATCGGCCAGGAATCCGTCTCTGAGGTGCATGCGTTGTTTCTCCCCTCGGGAGTTGATGGGGATGACGCCGGGGTCGACCACCACCACCACCCCTACGATGAGGTAATGCTCTTCCAGGACAACGTTGGTGACCAGGGCCACCAAGTCCAGGGCCTCTTGCTCTGATCCCTCCAGCTCCACAACCACCACAAGGAGGTTGGTCCATGTGAACACAGCACTGTGGGGAGGATGAGGTTGTCGATGCACGAAGGGAAACAAAAAAGGAAGGGGATGGGGCAGTTAGATGACAGGAGGAGAAAAGGAGGTGAGTGTAAGGTAGGTGGATAAACATCTGACTACATGATGAATAATTCAAACTGAACAGTAATAAAGCATTGATCTATAATTGCTAATTTCTCACCATTCAGCTATGCTCTTGTGAGAACGGATAACAGAGGTCTCGATGTCAATTGGGTGATACCTCATGCCCCTCAGCTCCAGAGTCTCATCAAGAGAGCCCACCACGTAGAGGGCGTCATGGCGCTCTGAGACAAAGACACACACATACAGTCGCAGATTTGTCAGTTTATATCCCAAATTTAAGTATCAGTCCAGCTACACAAAGAGCAGTTCACTGGCTCTAAGTTCGAGCAAGTGCTGATGATTCTCACCTCCACTGGCATCAGTCAGCTCAGTGCGCCGCAGGAAGCCGAGGTAGCCCGTCCTCGCCCAGACAGTCTGAGTGTCGCCGAAGCTGAGCTTGGTGTTGAAGTGGTCAGCATGCAGCGCCTCCTCACCATAAACTGTGTAGTAGCCTGTGGCATTGTGAGGACTGCTCACCCAGACCTATTACACACACACACACACACACACACACACACACACACACACACACACACACACACACACACACACACACACACACACACACACACACACACACACACACACACACACACACACACGATTGGTAACTGTTACACAGATAATCGTACACATCTTTCGCTCTTTTGATCGAAGTTATGGAGTCTAGTGTCATTCAACATTTAAATAAAAAGAGAATATATAAATTGACTTCACTTAAATTATACATTTTAAATAAAGTGTCCATCACCTGTTTGTGGGTTACTGATCAGAAATGAGCCCAATAAATAGAATAATATTACTCAGTAAGTGCTGCTGCATGGCTCCATTTCTCAGACATTATGTTTATAGGCACAAAAGAAACCAGGTTACACTTGCAGCACGTCAGTAATAAACTCTGAAGTGTCTGAATTTTACATATCAAATCAAATGTTCTGTGGTAGACTTTGTGTATGTTTTAATTTTAGCCAGACTTTTAATTAAATAATTTCAATGAAGGTTCTTTCTTTCCTTTAATCCAGTTGCCCTTTGATATTTAAAATCTGATTAGAGACCTGGTTATGTGTACACATAGAAAATAAATCTCTCCAGGAGAAATCTAACTGGGGAAATCAGGTTGTTCTGATCTCTTACCCTGATTGCAGAAATTTGGGGTCTCCTTTATGTGACATTTAAGTGTCAGTTTATTACAGAAAGCAAAATGTAACCTGTAACTTAAGTGCATGTAAACACACTGATTGTGGCTAACCACCAGTTGAAACAAATCTCAGATATCGTTACCTCTCCTAGATGGGAGTCTCCCAATGGTCCTTTAGTCTCTGTGTTGGCAATGATCACCTTCACTCCTGGAAGGATCTACAACAGCAGACAGCCATATCTCAAATAAAGACAGCTTGAGAAAAGAGCAACCCTCTTGCAGCATAATGTCACAGTTGTTTGTAGTATTTTGGTGCATGAGTGTGATGCCGTACCTTCCCAGACTCCATCAGTGGCAAGCTGTGCGGAGACCCTCTCTCTACAAGGCGAACCCTGAAGACAACACAATTAAAAAGGACAAAATGATGAATTTCAAATCTCATTTTCTATTATATCAGCATATGTAGAAAAGAAGTAAGAAAAACTAATCTAAGAAAAATTAAGAGAAAAAAAAGTGAAAAAGAATAATTAAGGCATTCATTAATTCATTCTGCTATATAAGCAATATAATTACCTATCATGTCGAAGAGCTCTCATGTCTACATAAACAGTAGTGGGGTCCGGTCCAGCTGTGCCCTGGAGAAAAATCAGCAGAGTGGAGTCAAAAATGTAACTCTCACAAGCCCTGAAATGAATGCTGAATGTTGCCTGAGTGGACGGGAGGTGGAAGCTGCTTATGATACAACTGTTGACAAAGCAGGAGGCGCAGCCAGAAGCCAACCAGCCAGGCTACGATAGTTAGGACTGAGGCAAAACTCAACCGTGTAGCCACAGACACTAAGTACCGGCAGAGTTAAAAATCACCTCAGTGCTGCCGGTTTGTTTTCACACAAGTGTAAGAAGGCTGAGACAAGCGACAGTGCCAGTTATTAGCAGCCTACAATAAATTATAAATCAACTGCAGTTTATTTCCTTCAAATGTTTATCTTCTGTGACAAAAAAAAGCACACAAATGTCTGAAAAACTCTCACTGGGGACCATTTGTTTTGATTAAACGTCTAAAGCTCTGCCAACTGGATTCTAATTGAACCATTTCTCAAGTACTGATTCTGGTTGTCAGATATTGATTCCTTCAGCTTTGGGGTTTGTCATCATTATCGCTGTAAGACTAGTCACAACACATTATGTTTTCCATCACTCCTTTGCCAGTTTATAGCCAGAGCACAAGCTAGCAATGAGTTGCTGTATGGTCGTCTGTGAGGTCAAAGCCAAACACAGAAGAGAGAGCGGGCTGATTCAGTTAAATGAGCCGGCGCGTCGAGCCAAGCTTTAAGCCGAGGCTTTAGCAACAGAGCGGGAGCATGGAGCATTTCAGACCCAATCCGGAGATTAGTCTTTGCAATAAAACCGAAGCCAGCGGTCTGATTAGCCTAATTAGGAGTTGCTTAAGTACTGTCAAACCTTTGCTTTTATGAACCTGATCCACAGGCTGGTTCATCCAGTACAACCAAAGAGTCAAAACTGTGTGTAGTATTTGTTAATGAGGAGCTTAATTCAGCAATTTGAAGACAAATTTAAGGACAAAATAATTTCTCTCATTAAATGACTGCTGGTGTAAAAGAAAAAGCTATGAATAGAATATTCATTATATAAATAACTAAATAATTCATTATTATGTCGAATACAACAAATGCAAAAACTAAGTGTGGTAAATTGTTGTAAATGAAAGTTATAATATTGGATTTAATCAAAATAAATTGCCCTTTCACTGGTAAAAACACCTAAAAACATACGTAAACGACTCTTCTTCAAATGTTCGTATCACATTGTAGAATAAAGATCATAGGGTAATGGCATGGCCCTCTTGAAATTAGAAGCCCTCCCAAATCAACTGAATCACGGTCATGCTGCTAGCTCATGGTATAATGTAGTAGCACATCACATATAATTCACATATATCTTAAAACAAAGGTTGAGAGCCAGTCGTAAGACTCTGCTAAAATGAACAGCGGTAAAATGAGGCCGAAGCTGGTCAGAGAATAAGAAAACCAAAGAGAAAAAACTGTGAATTAAGGTTAAGCGTCTTAAAAAATCATGCAAGATAAACTACAAACACAGACAGACACACACACACACACACACACAAAAAGTTCCAGCAGCAGCCCATTGAGCAAACAGCAACTCTTATCCTACAGTTACCTGCTCAGCCAGTTTGCCTAACCTGTTGGGCTGACGGGACAGGGCAGGACAGATAAATAAAGATATATATATGTATATATATTTAAATACATAGACACACATGCATGCACACACACACACACGAAAAAATTCACCAGGGATAGGGAGAAACAAATAAACCAGAACATCAAAGGGCCAAAGGAGAAAAGAAAAGATGATGAACAGTCAGACTGAGAAGCAACTCAGAGGATTTTATATTCAGTGCATCATTTAAAAACCTTATTGTGCATCTATGATATATAAAGCTTTATATGTTTATTACTGGCACATTTTTGCCATGACTTCTGTTAGTGGATGTGTACAGTGCCACACTAGCAGAAAAGTAGAGAGCTGAAAAATAAAATGATTCAAATAAATAAAGTTTTCATTTATTTTATCAACTCATTAGAGATAAAAGGGAAAAAAAATGATTTCTTCCTTTTCCTGTAACTGACCGGTATCTTTTCATTTCTACTGTGCACTTCTCTTTTTTTTCACTTCTTCTTTTCAGTGAACTACTTCATACACTAGCTGTCTGAGCTGTATAAAGCAGGAAAATAAGCCACTTGTCATCACCAGCATTCACTCTTTTAAAGTCGTGCCAACAGTATGTTTTTCAAGGATTTCTTGGATGTTGATCCTGAATGTTACACAGATTCATCGCCAGTTTTGCCACTAAAACATTGAACGTCATGACCTCTCCAACCCTCCTCCTCCTTTTATTTCCTCCTCTTTGTCCTTCACCAGCTGCTTACCTGCAAACAGATTGCCACATTCACCCTGCAGCCAAAGGTGGTGCTGACGGCTCGTGGCGAAAGCCCCAAGTCCTTGAAGATCTTTGAGAAGGACTGCGTGAGTGCTATCCGGGGCCTTTCCTCTGCTACCACCATGCATGTACGCACGCAAGACAGGTTCACATTTCGCAACTGGTGGTGGGAAGAGGAAGAGATGGATCAGAAAAATTGCATATTGTGTAAAAACACACTTGAGTTACAGTAATAATGTAATATTCTCTCTCAATTTGCAAAGATGTTTCATATTAACTAGGTGCTGATGAGAGAAATGCAATATTCATATTTTATATTTTCATATTCATAGAACTTTTTATCATATATTTTATTTATACTTATTAAACCACAGATGTGAATGGTAAAAAATCCCAATCTCAAGTGCTGCAGACACACAGATACAGAGCTGAGAAGTGTTTCACCCCTGAGTACCCTGATTGTCTCAATAATGACAGCTCTATGGCAGCAAAGGAAAAAGGAGTAATTGAAGAAAACTCTTTTTGTTGCTTCCCCATAACAACACTCAACACCTAAAGGGACAAACTGACCCGCAGTGCTTCTGTCTGTGAACCCAGGCCCTTGGTGCACATCTCCATGACTGAATACGAGCAGAAGGTGACGCGCACTTTGTACTGGCTGACTGCCGCGAGCCACAGAGACGCATTGCTCTCCAGCTCCAGAGGGGGAACCAGGATCGACTGGTGGCCTGAGTACACACTGAAACCAGAAACACAAGTGCAAACAGAGAGGTTGAGTGGCCTCCACCAGAAGATAACACAATGTTTGTTCCAGTCACTAGAACAGGTTCTTTAACACTGATAATTTGATTTCTTACTTTACTGCCAGTCATTTGTGTTTGTGTGCTGTTTTACCTGCACAGGCACCAGAGAGCGAACCCCAGGCCGCAGTAGGGGTCCAGACAGATGGCGATCTGTCGGGATGGGTAGAGCTCACACTGCAGTTTGATGGAGCGACACAAGGCACTGGTGGCAGCATGAGACATCTGGAGGAGATGATATGATATACAGAGACACAAATTATGAATCAAATCTGGATTCTGGAATAAAATACAATATTTTAGGGATCCATTATTTAACTTTTTTCCCCCCACGTCTGTTGCCTAGTAAAAAACACTCCATAGATAACCTCCGGCCAGAGGCAGTGGACTTTAATATTCTGCCCGTTCTACCCATTTTGTTTTGTTATATTGTGCTGACAGTAACCATATCATTGTTTTATTCATGATCTCTCTCTGCTGACAGCAGACTGTAAAATATTAGCATTTATACAACTTCTGCTAATGAGAACAAAACAACATAACAGTTACACGACAATAACTACTCAGATGACTCGTGTGTGTGTCCTTCAACATTCAACATACTTTGACCCCTGCTAAGATGCCTGTTGTGGACACACTGAAATCCAGGTAAGCTAACATCTCTGGGGTCGGGGGCTTGTACATCTGGGGACTCTTCTTCCTGGGGAGGTCATCTGGAGGATGAACAAAGGCAGAGGAAGAGAGTTTTTAAAGCAGGCATGGAAATCACAGACCATATCCTCTCTTTACTTAAATATTACTCTTTGGTGGCATGATGAGAACATAAATTGAAGACCTCAGTGTGTTGACTGTGCGTAAATAATTCACCTGTGTCCAGCACCATGGGCCAGCTCTTGATGTCCACAGCAGCAGCAGCCTCTTTGGATTTCAGCAGCTTCATTATTGCTTGAGTGGTCAGGATACACACTGACTTACTGACCTTTAACAAAGAGATACTACAGCATTACTACATATATATTACATTTGTGTAATAAAAAAGATTTAGCTATCTTATTTTTATAGGTTTAATAATTGTAAGAACTGTGCAGAGAGGGATTCAATTAGCATTCTGATGCAGGTCTGTGGACTTACCTCAACAATCATCTTGACGGTGGGCAGGGTGGTCGCCAAGTTTTGGGGGTGCGGGGGTCTGACAGTGACTGGCACACAGCCAGCATACAGGCAGCCATAGAAGGTGGCAATCAGGTCGATTCCTGCACATAAATGTTTAAGTTAAATCAGCTTTACAAATATTTTAAGAACTTTACTGAGAGCTTTTGTCTCTTCTGGTGTGTGATTATGATTAATGGATAGATTTAAAGACAAGCGAAGACAGCTGTCAGACACTAAATATAAGTAGCACAGTAGCAGTAGCGCCTCTTACCTGGCGGGTAGACAAGTGCTACATGGTCTCCAGTGTTGAGGCGTCCCATCAGTGCTGCAGCAACTCGCTCTGCCCGCTTGTGCAGCTGCAGACAGGAAGCTGTACTAGCCACCGTGCCCTGAGGAGCAACAGATAGGAAGTTATATTAATCTGCACTGCTCTTTTTATTTAACAGATATAAAAGTTATCAGTTCAACAATAATCTTCATCATCCTTAGAATTTTTCAAGCTGTAGAGATTTCTATCAAGGTAGCTTTCACTTTAATATGTCCTGCTGTATTGGACACTTGCAGGCAATGTTGCAAACCAACAAGCAAGACAGCCGTTTTCAAAAGTTGGATTTTTGCACCAATGTAATGAAGTATGTAGATTTATCAGGTATTTAATTAGCTGAATTAGCCTAAAGTAGTCAATTATTTTACCTATAAACAGTTTCTCCGTCAAGTTTCTGGGTAATTAACTATATCACATTATAAATGTTAGCCATATAAAAACACATTTTTATATACCACGACAAAAAGGCAGTACCTTAGCATTAAGAACAAGGAACAGAGGATGGTCTGGAGTGGCCTGAGCTCTCCATTGCAGCACATCTTGTATGTACAGGAACTATATGGGAGAGAGGCAGTTTAACTACAGAGAAATGAAAGTAAACACAGAGCTCAGTCGGACACAAACTGAGACAAAGCTGAGTCGTTACACAGCACAACAGTGTAGAATGAATGAAGTATGGTAGCACAAGGTGGATTTTTGTAATGAAGGAATGACAGATTTGATGGGGTTCAGTATATGTGAAACTGAGAAGAGTAATGGGTGTAATAACAAGCGGAATCCAAATTACACAACTCCTGTGTTTGTTCGCAGGAAGTCGAAACCATGTCCTCTCAATCAGCTGTACGTTTTTCAGACTCCACTCCCTCCACTATGAGTCCTTTGTCCTTTCGTCTGCAGTATGTGTGTGGAGGTGATGAGTGGGTGAAATGAGGATGACTTTCTACCTTACGTGCCTGGTCATTGTCCTCTAGCTGGGCCACGTCTCTCCCACAGGCCTGTGCTATCCTCTTGCCTGCCACCAGGTTGCCCACTATCATAGAAGCAGGACCGACCTCTGTCCAGCACAACCACATTCATCATCAACGTCATCACACATGTAACAAGTGAATTGAGGGTCAACATTTATATCAACATAAAAAGAATCACAGCAATAAAACAAATGAAGGACTTAAGTAAACGAGTATTCATGCTACATTTGTTTCTAAACCTGATGTGGTGGTCTACCTGGCTGTTTTTGTCTTGGCTTGGGCAGGTTGGTGACACATGTGTGAGGGCACATGAGGACGTTGCAGGGGTGCAAGGCGCCCTCCAGGAAGCGCTGTTTGGTCTCAGATATATGGATGCCGCCCAGGGGAGCCTTAGGTAGCGTGTTGGCAGGCACCAGAGCCAGGCAGTACACACCGACCTGGTGGATGCTGTCTATGGCCTAGAAACAGACGGGTTATACATGCAAGAACAGATGAGAACTGGAGATCAGCAAAACTGTCTGTAAATTAGAGGAGTTTGTTTTAATTTTACAATGTGTAAAAAACAAAACATGCACTTTTTTTGCTGTCCATTGTTTTATCATAATTATTATTCTAATTAAACTACTATTTAAGCAGGTAAATCCCATTGAGATTTAATAAATCTATTTTCTAAGGAAACATTAAAAACACATAAAACAGACATACAACATCAACAGTGCAATCCAAACAACATACACACAAACTCTAAAATGTGTAAAACACACAGTATCAGCTCAAATGCCATAGAAAACAGTTTAGCTTTAATAAGCACCCTAGGGGATCATTTCACACCGAATTATTCTTATTTTCATATGAATCACTTTTACATGCATATGTAGATTAGAAAATAAACCAAATCAAGACAAAAATATTGCTATTTTTTCAGCCTTAAGTGGGACTCAAAGCTGCACCATAACAGTGTATTTTTCTCCCACATTAACTACAAACCATGAATACTTCTAGCATGAAATAAAACTTGACTGATTTTGTATCCTCAAGCAATATCATCGTTGAGCACTTTTCCTAATGCATTCAAGGATGCTCCAATATCCCAGATTTGAGAGTTATTCTCTGTAATAAATTATCTCAAGGAAGTTTGAAGGTTCTGCAAGTTGCTTTTTATATTTAACTGGCATGTCCTGAAACCAACAATGGAAGTAGAAAATCTATCTAAAACCTTGTGACATGCTGTACATACTGTGTAAGGAGTAATATTAACTAAGTTTACCTGATTTGCACTAAAAAATGCAAATCCACAGGTACACTCATTTAATTACATGTGATGTGATGAGCTGCAAAATGTGAAAAAGACAGTAAGCACCTGAAGGACGCGGCTCATCCACTGGAAGCTGTCTTCCTCAGATGCGTCTGGCCTCTGCTCTGCCACAACAACGATCCTCTCATCATGCAGCACGGACACAGAAAACACTGCTATCCTGGGACACACAACATTAAAAAAAAAACACTGTTACAGCTGGAGTGTACTCATTGTTACTGATGTCCTCTAACACTGTCAGTATAGTCTGAAAACTGTGAATGTTTTTCAGGCTGCTTCCTCCTTTACCTCCCCCTGTACACAAACTTCATGGGCTCCACTGCCAGCGCTGTGGCAACAACGTCATCAGCATTGTGTCTCCGCCCACTGACCACCATCAGCCCATCCATCTTCCCCACAACAAACACAAGGCTGTCCTGGTGGGAAACACAAAGCACATACTGTTAGATGGGTACTGTAGATCTTGACATTTATCCAATCTTAAGTAGAGTGTCCATCAGTACAAGTAACACATCGGAAATTGTGGTCTGTGAATTATCCTGAGTAACTGTAATATTGTTTCTGGAAAGACACACCTGCTTTGAACTATCATGGCTTTTTGTGATTTTAGTGAACTGATGCTTTACCTGGGACAGGGGCAAAAGATATGACACTGTATATCACAGATTGATCATTTATGACAAATTAATATTATCTGAAGTAGAGTAGATAGATATGTCTTTACCATGTGCTGTAAAAACTACAACATATCCCAACTGGGAGGTCTCAGAATGCATATGTTTAAAACCGGGCTCTCTTAATGCCATAAGATAGAAATCTAAGTGAAGTATGGTTTAAAGACAAAGTATTTTGTTTATTTGTATAGGGACAAGTATGTAGCATAAATAAATGCCACATACCAAATGTAAAGCCTAAACTAATCTGCAAAGCCCATCCCTCGATGTGCCTTTGATTAATGAAGTGGAACTTACTGGTCCCACAAAGCCCAGCAGTGAGGTCCTGGTAAAGGGTCTGTCACTGATGGGAACCCCAGATGATATTATGGGGATGGTCTGCAACAAGAAACACAGGGTTTAAAACAAACATTCATAGATGAAGTACAAAAACAGTTTGTTGCCTTTACTCAAAACAACTAAAATAAGACATAATATCATCATTCTGAGTATGCTGTGTGAGCTTAAAGATGATAAGATGAGTTGCACTAACGCATTTAAGAGATATTTTAATGTAAACCATTAATTAAATTCACCCCCAATAAAGGTTTAAATTTGCATGTGTTTCTTTGGATTGAAACCTTTCTTTAGTCTTTATAATGTCAAAAAAGCAATATCACCACGCTAAAAATAACTTTTGTTAAGCAGCAGTTAAAATAATAATAAATAATAAACAGGGGTGTGGATGATATACAAAGTTTACTGATATTACACATTTATAAACACAATATTTAAAGAAATCAGCAAGAGAAATCACATGTGAACAGTTCCAGTAATGTAAACACTAACCTCAAAGACGTTCTTGGTCATACCCGGGAGGCCGTAGTAAGCTACACCTGTGCTTCCTGAGCTCACACAGATCTCCCCAACCTCGTCTGTCTGACAGACATATGGTGTCCCCTCCACTCGCACCACACAAACCAGAGCTGGAGAGACACAGTGATGACAGGAGGTTGGGACATGAAATATCATTTAAAGTTAATGTCTAAATTGGAATAAAATATTAAAGCATTATTGCTAAGTATTTGTCAACGTATACATGTTGGCAAGTGTAAAAACAGTTCAATTTACTTTTTATTTTCAGCTATATCCTACAAAATCTGATCTGATCACCTCTGTTCTCGGCTGTATAAAAATAGGTAATTCTAAGATAATGAAAACAAAAATTTCTATATTCAACTGATTATACACTAATAAAAACATAACAGTGAGTATTACATTCCATTTCTGCCAACAGATCCTCTTAAATGTTACACACCGGACCTTAAATAGCAGCAAAAACTTAATAAAAAGCGCAGTGTACTGTACCTCCGGGCATGACCTGTCCCACATCCTGCACTGTAAGGACAGAGAGTTTCTCCTCTGTGTCCACACGGATCACACTGTGGCTCAGCCCACCCATAGACAGCACTGCCTTTCCTGGAGGAGGAACACCCATTTCTGGAGGTCTGCAGGACGTAGACATTATTACTATTACACTCATATGACTGAACACAATGACACACATGTAAATATTTGCATTTAAAGACATTGACAGTTTTCAGAAACCAAAACTATCACTTATTCCTATTCATTTTCTTTGCCTTTCATGGAAAAAACATACAAATGTGCAACTCAGATGTGGTTTTGGTAGAATATACAATCGTGTGAATCTGTGAGATACAGAGTCTGAATCCATTAAATACTTCTCATTGTCCTATCCTGTTTGAAGGATGTGTTTGTGTCTGTCTGTCATCCTAATCCTTCTACATGGCTGATCAGCAGAAAGCTATACAATCCTACAGTTCCTCTTTGTGTTAAAAAAGCTCAAATCTCTCTCCTCTCCCTGCAAGATCACAGTAATACAAAGCAGTGGCAGGCTGCTTTTGCTCCAATAAGGTGCAGTAACAGCAGCTCACCTGCGGATGGCGACAGTCATGGCTTCTGAAGAGCTGGCACATGGACAGATCACCTCAGGTCGCAGCCCACGTGCCTGAAACACGTTGAGGAAGGCATCACAGGAGGATATCGACCCTGTGGTAACACACACACACAAACAAACACACAAACATACACACACAAACAAAACAAATCAATGATAATCTCTTGTGGCTTCAGGGTGTTTATAAGGTTATGTTATTAAATGAGAACCTGCAGGTAGACTCACATGGGTTAGCTCCGTCGGCTACGATGAGCATGCGCAGGGAGCTCAGGCTGATGTCTCTCTGGTCTCTCTGGGCCAGCAGAGACCAGTGCATGTCCCTCGACTTCACCACTGCAACCCGAGCTGTGCAGAGGCACAAAAAGACAAAGAGACAAGCTCAAAATACAATCACCCAATAAACATATCTATCATCCAGCTTGACAGCCAATCACAGCTCACAAAATCTGACATCAAATAGCAACATGGTCTGACTCGGTTGCCAACAGGTGACTCAGCAAAGCTCAGACCAGAGAGGAGATTAATTTTATTCAGTGCAGCAGGACTCCTGTCCTCAACCTCAACCGGACTAATACAATTGAACCAGAAATCAATGAGTCCAACAAACTATTACGATAATCCATCCACCACTGTCAAATGTGTTGTCAAGGGAAACATAATCTTTCTGGAAGCCCAATTTGGTCTTATACATGCTTACAGACACTAAAAACAATAACAAAATGTTGGGTAAACACCAACAAGCGAGCTATTAAAGAATTTTTCTCAAGGTACTTCCTTGTGAAAAACCTATATTGTCCTGAATGTGTGCTTCTTTGTAAGTATGTTACACACTGTAATAATTATTGGAATTTACCATATGAAATGGCAATGTGTCACCTTTGTATGTGTGGACCTTCTGTATCCAGGAGAGGGGGTTGACTTTCATCAGGGAGTAAGGAATGCTGATCACATGCATTCGATTCATGACACTCTGCCATTAGAAGAGACATAAAGCATCACATCAGCACCAAAATATGTCAGAAGTTTATTTTAACTGCACGATGTCACTGTAAACAAGCTGCGAGTCATGACGAGATTTCACTTACTGTTAAGAGCATAAATAAAAGCATGTTTGTGCTACTGCTGTGTGATTTTAAGAAATTTAAACATGCAACAGCAGGTCATAGATTAGCTGTATGTAAATCACACAGGATGACAGGATGTCTGGTACCAGTTAATCAAAGCTGATTTGAGTATATGTTGGAAGAAACAGAATATTTTTAAAGGTTTCAAACTCTTGAGTTAAGAGATGAAATGTTTCTGTCCATCAGGACTTCATTAGTTTGAATGTATTTACATATTGATAGAAAAGGCCCTCATAGGGAAGAAGTCAGTCAGATGAATCAGACTTTTTATCAGCAAACTGAGCATGGATCTCTTCTGATTATATAACTTATATATAGTCTTTTAGCTTCAGAGGGTTGAAGACCACTTACAGTAAGAACACCATGCCATAATCCTGCTTCTCTCTTGAAGTCCAGGACGTTGGTTATGGTCTCAGCTGCAAATCAAAAAGGAGATTTTGCAAAGGTTAGGGGAGAAAAGGGGTTTGAGACCATCATCAGAATCAGAAATACTTAAATCATATTCTTTACAAAAGCAATCACACATCATCCTATTAGAAACAAGTTCTGTAATGATTGTAAATCCTGATTGTTACAGTTTTGGATTGAGTGAAGCACCAAACTAAGTCTTAGACCAGGAACGTCTCTAGGGGCTGCTGGTGCAGATAAAAGTTATTTAGAGGAAAACTGGGACACTGGAGGAGAGGAGGTGCCTCATGTTCGCTTTCTTTTTAAGCAGACCTGATCCAGGTCTGACGGGAAGAAACACAACCAGCTGAGCAGCTGCATTAATCAAACTGTACTGTAATTACACTGATAAGATCTGTGAGCAACATGAAGGGGAAATTCTATAATATCATAGATTATAAAATAGGTCTATATGATGATGATATGCTCATCTTTAACTAACCTACAGTACAAAACAGAAAAGAGCAACACAATTTCATAAAGTCACATTTCTTTTACATATTCTTTCATGTTATCATCTATTTTACTCTATATCACATACTAGAACTAACTGAATGCTTGTCCACCTCACCTTCGGTGTAGCCGCAGGCCTGTGTAAGGGCATGACAGTGAGCCAGCATGGCTGAATGGGACACTGTGATCCCCATAGTGCTTCCTTCCTTGCTGGTTTTATACTGCACGTAAGAAACAAGGAAAAAACATCTGAACAGTCTCATTCAGAAAAATTAGACATGGATTATATGAAAAAGAAGAGTACATAATTATTAAAAAACTTATTAAAAATACATAAAATATGAGTGAAAATATGTTAAATCTATCTTTGTTTTATTTGTAACAATGAAACTGCACCTACCTCTATGTAGGCTATATCATTACTGGCTTCCCGTAGTTGAGGATGCCAGTCTTTCGGAGGCTTCACAACATGTTTTCCATCTGTCACGAACCACAGCAACCGGGGCCAGCCTGCAGAGACAGAAACATGAAGTCAGTTCAAACCAAATTAAACTATACAGACGGGTAGTCAAAATCAAAATAAAACCAGCTGTACCTTTAAAAGTGGCTACCTCCCCCGTTTGTGCTTTAGGCAAGCCTTTCTGACAGGCGTCAGTGGTCAGTGCCAACGTGACGCCACAGCTGCCCAACAGAAAGCCAATCTGTTGACTTCCTGCATCCTGGGGGACCAAAGAGGATGAAAAACAGAAGTTCATGTTGTCAAAAACTTTGGCAAACAGTGCCTGTCACACAACAATCAACTATTAAGAAGAATAAAATTCAGCTTTGAGAAAGTATGCTGAGGGAATGTGGGAATAGTAACAGGGAGAGAAAGAAGGGCAATGACTGAAGAAGAAGACACCTCAGAGCATCGTACATCAAAGCAGCAGCAGGTAAGAAAGCAAAGTGACGGCAAATCACTATTAAAAACTCTACTGCTGAGCATCAAAGCCCAATCGTAGCAGGAACGAAGCCCAAGATCTGACAAACGCTCACTCATATTTGATTGGCTGTGCAAATTAGATTACAGCTGGACTCGTGCTGAGCAAACCATACTGTGCAGGAAAGGAAAAAAAAGGTGGGAGGAAAAAAGATAGAGAGAAAGAAAAAGGGGTTAGAAAAAGAAAGAGGCACAGATAAAGAGACGGAGGAAAAATGTGAGTTGGCAGAGTGAGCGAATGAGTTTCTGACTCCAGAGAACAGTTGGCCTGTGATCTAATATTTTGACTGAAATTACACATCATTTCACCTCACTCAAATCTCATTAATTACAACACAGCGTCTGCAAACAGCATGCTTATAAAAGGCAATCAAGAACAGACATTAATATTCAGCCTGGGTAACTAATGTGGAGGAATTTGGTTCAGTTTGAGCTGATTGATGTGCAGGAAAACTGCACTGCATTATAACACTCTGCAATTAGAACATTTGCCAAAGTTTATTACAAAGATAACGTTGCTGCTGCTGTAATCATGTGACGCGTAACCAAGAAGTTAGAGGTTCTTTGGTAAATATCTACATTAAAACAACAACTGTGCACATCTTGTCCCTCCTTCAATCATTTAGGAATCAAATGTCCAGCAGGGGTCACTATAGCTCTTCAATGATTCTGTAGATATCAGAAATGTCTATACATTCCCAGGAGATTTTAGGTTGCAATTGCCTTTACCTTTCTGGTCAGCGGCACTTCGATAGGCACGGGTACCAGCTCTGCCAGGAGGCAGCCATAGAAGGCTACCATGAACATCACTGGATCGTTGTTGGGGAAAACAAGTGCAACCTGCGGGTGTATCACAGATAATACAATACGTCATGGTAAGATATGTCCATAAAAGTATGGAAGGAAAGGGACAGCAAGTATCATGTTTAAGATCTGAATCCAAACATTGGCTTCCCTTCACAAGTATTGAGTGATATTTTATTTGTGATGACAAAACAAAAACATGAAAAAATATAATACAGATTTGAAGTAGGCTGATTTAATAATAAAATGTTCTTTGTTTAACCATTTAATTTTAAACGACTTCATGTACAGTCTTGGCACTATAGCTCCAGATTTTGCATCTTTAACTGTTGATCATTGCTAATAAGAGTGGTTGAGTAAAATTGAGCTTATTTGTTGCACTTGCTGAATATCCTTTGAGGAGCATGAACCAAGTGCATTAAATACAAAAAGGAATGTAACCACCATTTAAAACATTTTAATATCATGACTTACTCTGTCTCCAGGCATGAGCAAAGGCTCATTTCTGGTGCTCAGCTTGTTAAGAAGAGTGTAGGCCAGTTTCTGACTGCGAGTCCATAGTTTACCTAAGGAGGTGAACACACAGTGTCAAATATTTCACTTGATTTAACAACCCCAGTCATACAAATCAACATTCACACATACAAAATGACTGAGAATAACAGCCGATAATAAGGTATCTAGGGACAGGCACAGACAAAACATTGTCCATTATTTGAACCCCACAAAGAATGGATGACATTGTTTTCCATCTCCACTGTAAATTCTGGGCCAATCATCTACAGGTTGATACCTACCATAGGTGAGTGTGTAGACAGGTTTGCCAACATTGTCGAGTGCTGTCAGACAGGGGCTCTTGGGCTGAGTGGTGCCCCAACGTTGTAAGGCTGCTGGCAAGGATGGTGGCCACTTGTTGACCATCCCCAGATGATCTCCTTCCAGGGGACTCATCTGTTGGCCTTCTGGCTTTGGCTGGTTGGGATCTGGCTCCTGGACTAAATACGTGAGGAAGAGTACAGGGCATCGGCATGAGTCTGGTTCAGTGGGTATTTTGAGCAACAAAGCAGAACTAGCTCCTAGCGTACTGTTGTCACCTGAGCTCCGAACTGTCTTAAAAAAAGGCAGGGCAACAAACGGTGTGTGGGGATTGAAAGACAATGAGATGGGTGAAGCTGGAGGATTAAAGGCGAGCTGTGTTCTGTCCTCATCAGTCTTAGCTGCCTCAGACACAAATTCCTGAGAAACTTGGAGCAACGGATTATTCTTCATCCTTCAACCTACACGCCCTACTCCCTCTTTGATTTGACGTCCATCTCTTCATCATTATTCTCCCCTCACATTCTCCTGAACTCTCTGATAATTCACAGCTGTTTAACTGAGCTGGCAAGATGTCCCTGCCAAATAAAACACCTCTATCAGGAACAGATAGTGTCCGACCTGCTGCCATTTCAGCTCTGTGTGTTTTTCTGCTCACACCAAGCAGACCACAGAGGTTTGCCACGCCACAGTTTCTGTGCCAAAGTCAGGGAGGCTTTACAATTACCTGCTGATGTATTACTATTCCTGCCGCTTATTCATTTTCACATTGTTTATTCAGCCTGGCAGAGTACCACCCAAAACCCACGATGGGCTGGTTGGAATGGAGGAAATGGTCGGACAGGGCTGGTCCTCTGTGTGTTTGAGTGTGTTCCTGCACCCAGTATTCCCTAACCACTTCCTTAGTACACCTGGTGGTCTCAGCTTTATCCGGAGACAAAATAATAACCACTGATCTAAAAGTGTACCTTGACTGTTTATTTGTGAGGCGTAGGGAGGTCAATGTGACATTTTTATCTTGGCAGCAACAATATTTGATAAATAACCAATACTGAAGCTGGAAAACTCCACTGAAAGCTATAAAATAAAAGCTGATGTGGCTGTCACACACTCAAAAGAGCAGGAGTGTTTATAAGAAATACATGCTTTAACTGCTGAAGTCTCGGATCAGTATGCTGATCACACCACAGAAAGAGAGATGCTTTTTTTCATGATTTATTGATTTAACAGAAGCAGTGTAATTACTTTCAGGCCAGCTTACCATCTAAAAGCTCCTCAAAGTCGTCGACAAAGAACTCTCGCAACGGTGGTCGCTTTGGTCTCTTCAGAGTGTTGAGCAGCTGCTGGATTTTGGAGGAGACGCGACTGTTGACTGGAACACCTACACAATGAAATTGGAGGGAATGAAAAGGAAAAGGCAGGGGGGTGTGGAGAGAAATAGAGACATGGAAAGGAATAATATCAGGGTGGAAATGTATGTTATGGAGCAGGTGGGAGGGGGTACAAAGGAGAAGGGGATGGATAAGAGGAGGACAGAAAAGAAGAGAGAGACGGTGGTCAGTGTAGTGCTGTAACGAGACATAGACAACCAGCTGTCACTCACATTGTAGCCAGACAACAAAACAGTGGACCTCGAGGTCCTCTACAGTCACCTGGAGGTCAGAGGTTACAGTCTTTCAGTCACTCCAGAACCACTGACTAAACTCACAGGCTAAATAAATCAGGAAATGAGGAGCCTCCTCGCCTGCTGCCTAGCAACAAAGATGTTCTCGCTGCAATAAGTGATTCACGAGGTGTCTCAAAAGGTGTCTGCTTCACATACGCTCTGCAAAATTCACAATTGTGGGAGGCTTAAACCAACTATACCACAATCAAGCCAAAATAGTCTTTTGACAATTGAGTTAAAATTAATGAACCAGAAGATAAATACGATACATAATCATAATCGCAGAGATGTGAACCTTTGAAAAGACAAAAGAACATAAATAAAGAAGCAGGAGAGAAAGGTAGAAACAATAGTCTAAGAATGAAAGAAGAGGGGAAGTGTCCAGTTTCCCTCACATTTTGGACATGGGTATGTGCCGACTGTAATCATCACTGGACATCTTTTCCTCCACATGAATTCATACTTAGTTTGGGAAGGGTTGTCTGTGTCAGACATTCCCGACAGCCACAGGAGATGAAGGCCACAGCTGCACGCAGCTTGCCTGATCTCTCTTACTATAATAAGCCCGACTCAGACAGACTTTGCCTCCTCGTGTAGGGACAGATGTACTGGGAGTAGACGAGTGGGGGTCAGCACTGCACCTGATGGGCCAATTAGAAAGCCCCTGACACACAGGACAACATCTGAGGGCCCGGAAACCCACCCACTCAAGGGTCTTGATCATTAATATCACAACCAACCAGGAATTGTTTGTGATCAAGACTATAATTAACATATTCATTTCATAAGTCATCCATCCACATCATTCAATTACTGTAGCAATCACTGGCTCTAGTTTCGAAAAAAAACAAACATCACATCTTTGTAGTAATATGTACACAGAATTGCATTTACCAATAACGAAGACGACAACAAAGACAGAGATAAAGAACAAGGCTGTGCTTATTGTATATTTTTCTTATTGTTTACAAATCCCATGGGAAGTTAAAGACCAACAATGCGTCAGTCTGTCTCTTAATATTTTAGACTTCCCTGCCCTTGGCTCTCAGCCCCAAGTTACTGAAGGCACAATTCTCTAGAAACGATTCACAATATATGGTTTCATTTTGAGCAAGTAATTTCCTTAAAAAAAACCAATTACAATTGTAGTTTTTACAGCACCAGGGCAGTACATATGGGATCAGCCCAAAATGAACTAAAGAACCCAAGTTCATCATTATGAAGGTGTCACCCATTGCAACAGCCTTGCATTGTTGTGTTTTTAATAGTTTTTGGAGAACAATGACAACGGTAATGGCACAGAGGATTAAGCTATATCAGGCTTTGCATGCACACTCAATACTTGTTACTCTGATTAATTCATAGTCGGTTTTGGTCTTTTCACGCGATTTGTTGACAAAATGCACCAAAATGTGCGTGCTCTATAAAGTAACCAACACATACAGTGTCAGTATCCAGATGGAAGTCAAGTTCCTGTGTGACAACTATGTGTCGTTATTAAAATGGCAACAGTGCTAGACGGCTGCCATCAAAGAACCCACTGTGTGGCTGCAGGCTCACAGGCTTGTGTTGAAGCAGAATGTAGTGAGAAACATAAACTGACAAGCCTTAGTGTCTCAGTGTGAACGCAGAAACCAGTATGTCAACATGCAAATTATTCACAACCCCCGGATGAATAGTTACACCTGTCACGGAAATGGCCTTTTAGCACAATCTGCTTACGCATGATCAATTTGAAGAGCATTTAGGTTAGACATTGCTTGAAGATGCTATAAATGCCAAAGCCTTTGCAACACACTCAGTTATACAAACACACACACACACACACGCAGAGGAATCTAATGACTGGATTCACCATAGCTTTGCATATATTTTTGGAAAACACACACGGTTTGACAAGTGCTAGACCTGACAGTGGAGGCGAAGGCAGAAACACAAACACACACAAACACAAATGCACACGCAGCAGAGTGCACATATAGCCGACTGCCATAGAGTTGGAGGAACAGTTATAAATACCATCCATTAAACTGAGGGATCCTTCACCTCTCCACTCACAGCCTGGAGGAGAGACATATCAGGATGTCAGTGAAACAGTCCTGTTAACTTTGTGTTTGTGTGTGTGAATGTGTGAGAAATCTACCAGCAGCCAGAAGTAGGTGAGAACCGGATTAAAAACAGACTAATTGTACCATTACAACAAAGATAGGATTTTCTACTGTTTTTGTTATTTTAGGCATATTTTTAATGACCAATGTGGGAAAACTTGCACAGGAAGTGTGGGTTTCAAACATCTTGAACACCAAACAGCAACAGATAATACTGTTTACATATTTTAAAAAATCCATAGATTTCACAAACAAATCCCTTCCCCCTTTATGTGTAAGCCAGGTGGGCTGGTTTAGCATTTAGTAGCAGTGAAAACCAAAACAACGCACACATTAATGACAGAGCCTGGATGGCAGGAAGGTAATACCGATACATTGGACATTTATTCAAAGCAGCATTTCAGCTCGGATGTTGAATGAATGAAGATGGAAGGATGACAGGAACACTCTTGTAATGCTGTTATATGACTGTTAAAATGACTGGTTCATATACTCTAAAATACTGCATATACTGTAAAAATATCTATCTTAAAGCATCTGTTATTTTTCCAAAGGTAGATCCCTGGTAATCTCACGTGATTTTCTTATCCCATTTAGGACTCAAGTGAATCAGTGTTCCCATGTTCAATTGTGTGTTGTGTATGTTATTAGTGTCAATGACATATTATGCATTTAAGAAAACATAATGTTTTTTGATGGAGTTGGAGAGGTACAGTGTTACCATGGCAACACAAGAGGGTCAGTCAGCAGCTTGTGCCAGTCTGACAGGCAGACTGACTACTAAGGAGAGGACAGAGGGACAGACAGCAGGGGAGAAAGGGAAAAGGAGGTGACTGCGTTTCTGTGTGTGTGTGCTTGTGTGTGTGTGTGTGAGCAAGAAACTCACCATCTGCAGTCTCCATGACGCTGGTGTGGTGGTTGTAGCCCCGGGAAACGCTTCGCACCGAGGCCACCTGGGGCCGCTCCGCGTGAAGCGAGGAGCGCTCCGACAGCCCCGTCACATCGGGGGGCGCTGAGTGGTTATCTGTGATGGGTGGGGTGTCGGGGGGTTAAAAGGTCAAACGCGAGGTCTTACTTTGGGCTGTTGTTTACTAAATGAAAGTATACTTTATGTGCTTGCAAACAAACTGATGTGACAGCTTAGGAATTTGATGGAGAGGCAAAAAACCTTTTTGTCATCTGCAAGTGGAGGGTCTTTATGTGCAGAAGAGTATGTTTCAACAAGGATATCACATTTTACCTCCATTTTAACTACTTGCCATGATAATGAGTCAGTGTTTCTATTCAGCAGATACATTCTCCTCAGCATGTAACGTATCCACTGAGAACAAGATGTCTGTGTACTATGATTAACAGGCAAGTCTGAGGACATTGTGACAGCCTCCATTTGTCTGCTGTTTTAGTGCTTTAAAGGATGAAGTTTTTACAGAATGACACAAAGCCAAGCAATCTAGTGTTTGTGTAGATCTGCTACTACATTTTACATTTACAAAGATTACAATGTTCAGTTTTTGTTGACACTGTCAGAGAGGTGTTAATTCAACTATGTAATATTTTCATAATTAATGGTGATGTTGGACTTGACTGTCCAGTTCAACACCACTGCGAACTACAACCTTTTATTTGTTTATTTACAGCTTAGATAATACGTCTCTGACAATGTCAGTCAAAACTAAACTTTATTATCTTTTTAAAAGGGAGAGTTTATGGCTGCGCTGGTTTTCTTTGGATCACATTACATTTTTCAGGTGTAACGAGTATAGGTGCTTTGTGTGGTGGCATGGTGGAAACTGGGTTTAAAATGGGTTTAAAATGTAAACTTCAATGAATCATCATCAATCACTAAAGTGCTATTGTAACGAAGTGTACCGAAACAACCATGGTGAAATCGTAGTGGCTACACCGTGAGAGCTGAAGCTCACATCCAAAGCACGTTATAACTTAAATATAGTATTGTATTAACTACATATAACGTGTATATCAAAATCAAAAATGACCCTAAAATGTTCATGCTCATGCACAATGGCCTACTAATCATCTATTGCTGAATTGAATAACAGACAGAATCAGACTTCAAGTGACCAAGGAAGAGGATAATACGGGTGATTTATTTACAGCTCCTTCAGTCACTGCTGCTATTTTATGACAGCAACCTTGAAGAGAGACAAGCTGGTCAGAAATCAGACAGCTCCATCCTAATAAGATATCGCTCTGCCAGCAACATGTACAGACACACATGAAGACACACACAAATACGTGCAAGACACCATCTCACTTTGCTGCTGCGGAGAGACGGATGGAGATAAATCCCTTGAATCTCATTAACTAGCTTGTGACACTGGCATGGTAACACGGAAAGAGGAGCTTTGACGGGGAAGTGGCTGTGAACCCGTTCACATGACTGAATGATAGTGAGATGACAGACGGAGATGACTAATTAGAGAGACTTGAATTAAAACTCTGTCGCCGGTTCCCTTTGTCTTGCCTCATCAAGTGCTTTTGTGTATCTGGAGGGAGATACGGCCTCGGCTGTAGCAGATGTGTAAGACACCACTGTCTGTCTGCGATTGAGCTACAGTTGTAGAAAAACTGTCTGAGCAAGTGAAGACGTCATATTTGATAAGGAAAAAAATTCTGATGGCTGGCAAAAATAGAAAGCATCAAAATTCTGCTGATATCAGCAAATGGAAGACAATGGAAGAAGTAAAATAGAAAACCATACGGCTTAGTAGGGGGTTTTGCTTATTAGAGGACTGTATGTGATTGCAGTTTTACTCCAATGAAACTTGATTCTTCCACCAGCAAATATATACAGTGATAATACTACATGCAGTTAATAATTTTAAACATCTAATACTGCTTGCTGTCATTCTAGGTCTATAATACCTTCCTACTTCAGCTCACAATCACACTACACACTTTTTTTTAAAATTTCTCCGAATAGGGTGAGGATGACTGATGTTGAGCAAAACTGATTCACCTTTCGACCGACTGGATGAAGTTATTGTTCAACCTCTTGGTCACAAACAATATCTACAATAACCAAGTCTCTTATAATGATTCAACTTTTGTGCAGGAGGTTGATAAGATCGCATCACTGCCATGTTCTAAAGATGTTAACTTTTGAGTCTTAAACTCATCTATAAATGCCTGCATAACCAGGCCCCCAGGTAGTTTTAGTAAAACTGAAACAGTCTTATGTTTCAGTCATATTTTAAAGGCCCATCTAGGGACAGACATTGCAAATTAGCCTAGGCAATAAATGCTGTGCTGGTCTTGCTGTGGCACTGGTTTATGCTACATACTTATCCTTATACATTTCTAAAATTAAATAAATGAATAAATAAATGAGAGCGCTGCATCAATTAAAGATGGGACAAGAACATACAGATCGTCCAGCCGAAATGTGATGGCATGTGATTCTGCGTGTGTGTCACTGACCTAGCTGGGTGTGTGCCATGAGATCGGCCAGTGCGGTAGCTGCGGCGTTGGCGTTGAGGGCTGCGTGGGCAGTGGTGTTGGTGGTGGTTACAGATCTCCCTCCCGGGTGGGATGAGGTGGATGACGCGGAGGATGAGGTGGACGAACCCTGGATGACACGGTTAAACCAGTGCTCAACGGCTGGGTGGCCGTGGCCCTGGTAGGGCGTGGAGGTGGCCAGACGTCCCTGCCGGCGCAGCGAACCCTCGTCTTCCGACGCTGAGGAGGTGTCTGTGTTTGACAGGTCAAGACAGGGCAGCGTCACAACAGTGGACAAAAACCAAGATGGTAAAACTGGCAATGGATTTAGATGATATGCTGATGATACTTTACCCTACTTATACATACTGGATAGAGTACATATAAGCTGGTGGGATGGCCAAATGATTTCAATGCGATGTTGTTAGGCAGAGGGAGGCTTGTTTTTTAAATGTATTATGGCTTTGCTGCTTTTGATATATATATGTATTTGATATTTGATTGCCTATAAAAGTAGCCACACAAACACACATAAGCATAAAGACAACCAATAATAATAATAATAATAATAAATAATCAATAATAAATCTCATGTATGTTGAATTACAGTCCTCACAACAACAAAAATGTTTTTAGTATGTCAGCGCATTTACATATTACCTAACCTGTACTGGTATTCCTACTCACAGGCGTTGCTTAAAAAAAACCAAACAAGTAAAATACATACATACTGTGCTATGAATACAATGCATACAGAAACTGAAATAGCCTAATTAAATTCCCCATCTAATATTGGCATAACAAAATAAAGCTTTGCTAAATGGAGTGTATGCTTAAGTTATTATGGCTTGGACTCAAACCCAGTCACTGATGATTTTACTGCCTCTCCCTTGAGGCAACTGTGAGCAGTTGGTCTCAGTAAAAATATCCAAAACAGGAACAACTTCAAAGCAAGGTAAAGATCATTCAAAATGAACACATTCCACTTCATCTGCCAAGCTCCCAGAAATGCATGTTCTTTTGACAGGATCACTGAAGTTACACAAGAGCAGGCCAATCTGAGAATTGCATTCTACAGAGAACTGAGTGCAACCAAAGGGCTAAACTGGCTTAGGCATCATCCACTTGAGAAAATGAAAATGCTCAAGTTATAAACAATTGTTTTTCCAAATACCAAGAAAGGTCACACATTCCCCCATTATTCATCATTGATGAAGTAAACAGCAGTGCCTGCTCTTCAGGCCCTGTATAAAGTGTTAAACTCATTCACACGTCTCAGAATATTACACTGAAGCATATTTTACAAAATAAACCCTTAATAATATGGAAAACCTATCCCAAGTCCACTGAGAGGATGAGAGCGAGACAGAAAACAGAGATTAAGCCTGTGTGTGTGATCAGCACGTGCCTGATTATGTTATCTAAACTAATGAGCCTTCATTTGATTAATCTGCCTTCTAATCACTCACAGTAAGAAGTTACGAGTAAATTCCATCAATTGAGAAACTATTAAAATTACTGTTACTTTCCTTAAGCTTTTCTCATGGCCTTGCAGAGGCTGTCAGAGGAAGGCTGGAGGAGGTTTGATTATAACAAGCTAAAATGTAACATCTCTACATCCAGCAGACTCATGGGGGTTATCTCGCATTTATGATTCTGTTTGTTATTCCTCTGCCTCTCTCCAATCTCTCTCCCTATCTCAGTAACCTTGACACAGTTACACAGAGGGAGAGGCAAAGAGTGGGTCAGAGGAAAAAAGGCAAAGAAGAAATAGAGAGGTAGAACGAATGGGAAGGAAACTTAAACAGCAAAGGAGGGATTAGTCACAGATAAACAGACAAAAACAAGAATAGATAGTTGAGCGTGAGTCAGAGAAAGACAGACAGTGATGGAGGGTTTGGACGTAAGGAGAGATATAAAAGAGATAAAACCTCAGCAGAGACACTAACAGATCTCAGTTATTCTTGTGTAGCAGTTGAATATTCTGTTCAAGCAAACCAAGACATTTACATTAAAGCTTCAGCCCAGCAATCAAAAGCTTTAGCTGGTTTTCACTGACCTCTTTTGATTGAAAATCGATGCAATGATACTGGCTGAAGCAACAATGGTTGGTGCCTATAGTGGCAATTACTACACTGACAAGGGTTCAATCTATCCTTAATCTATGTTTTATAAATGGTAAATCACGTTTAAGTACTATACTAGGACTGAAACAAGACAAAGAGGCTATACAGCGGAGCTTTGAGCTAAATGCCAATGTCAGCAACATGCTCACAATGACAATGTTAACATGCTTACATTTAGCAGTATAATATTGACCATTAACATGTTCATGCTGACATTTGCACACTAAACACAAAGTAAAGCTGAGGCTGATGGGAATGTCTCTAATTTTGCAGGTATTTAGTTCTAAACCAAAGTGCTGGACATTTAATCATGAACCTGATGATGTAGAGGACAAGTCAGGGTATCACCAACGTGATTATAAGTCATGCTAAGAGGAACATGAACGTCTGAACCAAATGTCATGATAATCAATCAATGTGAAACTCGTCCTCCTATGGGGGTCAAGAATATCTGTATCATATTTCATGGCAGTCCATCTGGTAAGTCCGGTATCAATGTGGATTTTGCATGTTATCTGTGAATGAGTTCTAATATTGTGTGTATATCTTCATAGATTGTTGGTCTGTATATTGGCATTAACTATATATTATTTGTAAAAGGCTTATTCCATTCCATCAGGTCACATTGTACTGAATGACGGGTCCGGCAGTATGAAAATAATTTTGCTCACATCACTACTGGTTCTTCACAATCAGTCAGTAGTCAGACACGTAGTGTGACCAGATGTAAACCAGCCACTGCAGATTAGCAAGATAAGAGATGGAAAAGGAGAAAGTTAATCAGTATAAAACGTGCGCTAAATACAGACTCCAACAATACTGGGACCTCAAAATATTACTCTACAGCTGCATTATCTCCACTAATGGCCTTAGTCCTTTCTGTCCCCAGACCTTCGCTAATGTAATCTCATGAATTCTGCCATTCAAAATCAAATCACAGACAACATGTTGAAATACGTAACACGACCACGCCACTGTGTGCACACCTGCCTATGTACCTTGTCCCAGTAGATTACAGTAGATCACTCAGAGTGACTGAAAACAACCATGAAGTGGCCCCCTCCTTCTCCTGTTCAAACCCCAATGTCTGAGCTCTTAATCCGGTTACTCGCTCCACCGCTGTGTCCTCTCTCTTTACCCAACACATGAGGCTCTAAGGCCCCCCACCAATTAACTCTTATACACCAATGATAAAGCCACTGCAGGGTTTGAGATACTGGCAGGTTTTCTGCCATCAAATCTTACACAGATATCTTACTGACTGACCTGAAGATGAAAGCTATTTGGGTAAAACTAACAACACAAAAAGAGCTTTTTGGGCCGTGAAAATCTCATCATTAAAGAAGCTTCAGAATGCAGTAAAATGACAAATATTCAAATGAAGTGGCCCACACAATACAAACAGTTATAAAAGCAGGCGAAAGGTCAACATTTTGAGACTATGTTAAAAATCTGATTATGCACCCATTATGCAACTCATGTGGGAAGGTCTGCCTGGGAACAAAACGGTGAGAACTGAGTCCTTTATAGTCACAAAGAATGGACACATTCATCAAACTGCACATTTCTTTCCAGTAGCAAATGCGTGGCAACATAATCTTGGATTACTGGACGCAACAGAGTGTCATCTTCCTACACCCCGATGCTCATGGGAACACATGTAAACAACTCAGCGTGAGCATAAACCAAGGCTGTGTGCACAGGATAAACCTCGCCTTTGGCCAACAGTGGGTTTAAAAGGTCTCACCTGGCGGGGTGCATGCCTCAACAGAAGACTGAACTAACACAGATCGTCTCTTGGAGGGCATTGGCATCTTCCTCTCTTTGTACTTTGCCAAAGCTGCTTGGACGGCTTCTGTGTGCAAATCTAAGAGAACACATCAACACAGTTTACCATCAGCATAAAAGATAAGCACAAGGCATTTAAAACTCTCAGGCAGCATAGACACATGATTACCAGATCTGAAGCGTTCATCCCGGGTATTGGCGGCCCGGGACTTGTTGTGTTTGGAACCGGGGAGAACAGCTTGGGAGGATGCCTGGATCCTGTTGTCAATTTGCAGAGAAGGATCTACACCTGCAGAGAGACAACACCAAAGCAGGGAGAGGACAGTTCATTATAGGATACAAACAAAAGTTATATTTTCCTCTAATGCTCAAATGCAGAAATATCAATATCAGAAATATGAGCACATTGTTGCGTTGCAGAATGTGCCCTGGACATAGAGAAACGTTGCTGAATATTGCTTGACCAGATCAAGTATCCGCAAGCTTAATGGTAATCCCCTACTTAGACTGCTTTCTTCTAATACAGTAGCTTGGAGTTGAGAAAGTATTCACTTTAATTAATCCTGTCTCTCTTGCAGCTTTCCAGCTGCCTCCCAGCTTTCCAAGGGAAGCAAATGCAAATTACACACATAACAGAAAGGAGGTGATTAAGCACCATGAATGTCAAAAAAGACAACATCTTTTAACTAGAGCGTTCTAAAATTATCAAACTCTCAAACCTGTCAACCGCTCAGCGCTGTGGATGACGCAGCCAGTGAGTCATCCTTTAGCTTATGCTTAGCTAATTCTGATTTGAGCTTCATTAAGAAACTAGTGGTTAGTATAAGAGGGGGAAACCCAAGACTGCTGCCTAAAATAAAGTCACGTTCAAGCTTAATTAGTAGTCTTCCACTACTGGCTTCACTTCTTCTCGTGCACTCATACTGATGTATTTGAAATATGTATGAAGGATAAATGTAAAGGAGAAACTGATGAGCTTTTATACCAATAACATAAAATGTGACTAAATGAGATGAATATAATTTTATTGTACATCAAATTAATTACATTAAAGAAATGCACATTAGAGAATCTCCCATTACTTGCTTGTATTTCCATGTTGAGTAATGAAAGGCCTTAGCAGTTATTTTAGGCAAAGTTGAAGGACAACTGAAAGACAGCATCCGTACTATAACTCAGAAATACAGCCGACCGTTTTATAAGGTATATTTTCCTGGGACGAAGAGGAGAACAAAGTTTAGAAGGATGCTTCTGTAGTTCTGTGGCTCAGTAAACAATAGCAACTAGAGTCTACAATACCAACACAGCCTCCTGCCAGTTTCCACCTGCACTTGAAAGATTTGTTCCAACTACTGTCTAGTTTCTTATCCATGAACACTGAATGGTGTGTACTTACAGAAATACACTAGAGCACAACAAAACAAAATACATTGCATGTTTGTGTTGTAGCCCCAAAGCCTCTGTAGAGGAGACAATGAGGGATGAGAACTAACTCGAAACACCATAGGCTCAGGTGATGCTATACAGGGAACTAAATTAAACAGAAAATTATTTTAATTTACATAAAAATATATTTTGTATTCCATTTAATTCAATGAAACTAAACTTGCTAACTGGATGCATATGCTCAAATATGCATTAACGGAGACATTAACCCCTGCAAAGTGCCACAAATCTGTGACGGTAGGCAAGAACCTCCACTGCCCATGTTCCCTGCATGAGTATGATGAGATGCTTTTATGCAGTTTTTCTTTTGTTGGATGCCTACCACTTTTGGACGCTTCCTTCCCCAAGAGAAGCGTTTTGAACAGCTACAAAGATGAGTCATTTATACAAAAAAAGTACAACTTAAGAGTCTCAGCTGTGATTTTCCAAAACATTCAACCTAATGACACAGAATGACTGAGTGCGAGGGACAGTCCGGTTGTATTCATGCACTTCAGCCAAACGTTTAGGAGGTCAAAGCTGCTCTTCTATCATTGGCTACCAATAGAGACTAGGGCTGCACGATATGGTAAAAAAAGAAGCATATTGAAATTATTTTGACAGATGTTGTGATTGCTGACTGATGATTCACAATTAGTGGGAATGATAATTTTTGCAATCACAGTTTTAATTTTCAACAACAAACTGTTAAGATTGTGATGATGTGACATTTGCGGGGGTTTGTACCAAACAAACATGTTTTCTTACATCTGGGGAACAAGATTTGTAGGCCAGGAAATCTCTGCAGCACTACAGTACTTCATTATAATGTTGTTTTGTCACAAATTTACCTTCATCAAACAATTGCAGCTTCATTGATATTGTAGAGACTTGATTAAAATAAAATAAAAAAAATAGCACCCTTTGCATTGGTCAAATGTAACTGGATTTACAGTCACACACAACAGAGGGTTTATAAATCCACAAGTGGGTGCCAAAATTAACAATGTAGCTAAAAAGCCTCTATGACCAGACTGTGGACAGCTTTGAGGTTGCTGTCATGTTGCAACTTTTACTGACCTGTGACCAAATTAAGCACACAGAGTGGCTGCCTTTTGCAAATATACACATTAGAAAACAGCTTTTTCTACCACGCCACATTCAGCCAGCCAGCTAGATCCAACAGCTAGCTGGCTGGCCGGTCAGACACCCAGCCAGCCATCAGCTCGTCCGGCTTTTCAGCGGCAGCTTATTGGGGATCAGTGAGCTCCACACAGTCAGCAACTCTCAGACAGCAACAGCACACACACACTGAAATGCTGAGCAACATTCACACACCCTTCAACTAAATCTACTCAATAACAAGTTTCAAATATTACACAAGCTTCAATAAGGCCTGAGGACATTTAGGGACATAATGTATTGGAGTCACGCACGCACGCATGCACGTGCACGCGCACACGCACACACACACACACACACACACACACACACACACACACACACACCACACAACACACACACACACACACACACACACACACACACACACACACACACAGCATCCTGTGAGCATAGGCCCATCAATATATGCTGGTCCCTTATATCGCTCAGACAGCCCAGTCACACAACAGCCTTTCCCCAGCTCCCAGAGGAGACAGGTCTATAAAACAAGCCAGGACACCAGACCCGGTTGCTGGGCAGAACACTCATCAGAGACACACCATGCTGAGCCAATCAGAGGTGGGCTCCGTCACAGCAGATGTTGTTATTGGTTCATGGCAAACCCAGATGAATTTTTAGCACCTGTCTGATGCCAACATTTACCCGTGTGGCGGCTGATGACACGTGTGCCGTGTCTCACTTCCTACAGAGCAAATACGCTTCACTAATGACTTAAATCAAGTTCGTTTAGAAACTGCATCCATAGTCAGAACCATCATTCAAGATCAGATTGGGTACACCTGTAAGGTACAGAAATCCCTCTACAGAGGCTCTGATAAACAGTTTGGCTTTGATAAACTTACATTCATATGCCAACTCTTCCTAAAAGTTTGACCTCTCAGCATGATCAACAACTCAAGCAATTATTTACTCTCCAAGCTCACAGTGAAACCCAAACTCAATATAAACAAAGGAAATGAATCCACACTCTCAAGATCTTAACTTGGCTTTGTGCAACTACTTTATTGCACTTGGCACATTTACAGTCCTATGACAATAATGAAATATAAGGCAGTAAAAAAGCATATGAAATTATGTATGCAGTTCAGAAGAATACAGTCTCTCGGTTTACTATTTTAACCCTGCAGCTGTTAAACCCTAACCCACTGATTCATTGTGCTGGATGGATGTGTCATTAATTCCCAGCACAGCCATGTGTTGTATATGAAGCATCTGACCCACTCCAAAGCCCATCCATTTGTGCCCTATAGCTATCATTTCCCTTCTTTAGTTGAACTGAACGGAACTAACAATGAACGACAGATAACAAGGAGGGAGAGGGAGCAAGAGAAAGGCAGAGAATGAAGGAGATGATCCGCCCAAGTTAAATAACAGGCCTGCTAACTTCAGTGGAAAGCCTTGAACGAGCGGCCCACACCAGACTGGTTTCCACTGAGGCTTGGTGCTCTGATAGCAGGCCAAACCAAAGACTGCCATAGTCCCTGGATAGAGGACGGAGAGACATGAAGCATACAGACAGCAACTCCTCTCTGGGATTTACCACAAACCACCTCAACCTTATAGTCTGCCCGAGGCTGCCGGGACTGACTGACTGCACGACTGAGCTTAAAATATCTTGAAATGATAGATAAATGCATGTAGCCCCCCTACAGATAGATAATAAGTAGTAACAAACAGCTGGGAAACCTTACACTCACAGCCTAACACAGAATAGCAGACTCAAATACACACAAACTAGCAATTCAAAAAGAAAAACATGCATCTGAATAATCAGCCTTCTGTAAGACAAGGTTACCTACCTAAAAAGTATAATCACATCGTATCAAGAGCTTAGCATTGAGAGTATGAGAGCAGCACAAAAACATATAATAAAGACTGAATCAACAAGACATCATATTTACAGTTCCATTACAGTACGTCTTCCTTGCCTTGGTTGGTGAGCACCTATTTTCATTTGGCCCCTACATATACTGTGTGACATATGGCTGACGCACAGATATGGCATTAATAACAGACCCAGGGGTCACAGGACAACAGTTGAAGTCCTGACCTGGAGAACCAAGGACACACCAGCAGAGACATATCTTACCACATGAGTAAAGTATGGACGTGTCAAAAGCCTCCACAGTATCCTTCATGATCATGTGATGTTCCATCTGCTATCTCTGATATCAAGAATTTACTCCATTTAAAATATGCAACTTCTGCAGGCAACCTCTGAATTGGTTTTGGCTTTGCTTTTATACTTTTTTTATGTTTTGGGATTTTATTTTTTGGATTTCTCGTTTCTCACCCTTTTGTCTCTGCAGGCTATAAAGAAGGTTTGTTTTTATCTAAAAGAATAAAATGTGTATACAAAGCTACTCCCATAATCATCCTTATTCACATCATAAGATTTTTTTCTTTTTCTTATTCTGTTTGTTCTTGCAAGGACACTATGCCAACCTCTATGCTAACAAGCAGCCAGAGTATAGATAAAACCTGTTCTGGACAGTACATTTCCTGCAGGCCTGTGTGTCTTACCTTGTATCTGTGGGATGTACGGTGCCAACAGCTTGCCTCTTTTCTTCTCATAGCCCTTCTGAGTGATGTCTCCTGTACAGACAGAGACAGAGAAATACAGAGGAACAGACAGACAGAGAGAGAAGAGAGGGGGGCAGAGAGATGAGTCATTAGCTCAGCCGTGCCCTGGTGGTGTGTGTGTGTGTGTGTGTGTGTGTGTGTGCGCACAAGTGCCTCAGGATCACACTGTCGGGCTGGTTACACTGGCACCAAGGGGCACCAAAAGAGGGTTGTGGTAGCAGATGACCAGCTCTCACCCACTGGATGTCTATCTCTTACACACACACACACACACACACACACACACACACACACACACACACACACACACACACACACACACACACACACACACACACACACACACACACACACACACACACACACACACACACACACACACAGGAAGTGACCTATAGTAGTCGTTAGATATGTTACGTCGATAGATACGGGAGCGAGCTGAAGTTCATTCTGAATACCTGAATGATAACATCGACAAGGCAAGGAGCATTTAAAAGATCATTTGTCTGGTGCGCCTGGAACATTTTCTCTCCAAGCATTTTTACCAGAAGTAAAAAATACTGCTGATGTCAGCATGAACTGAATTCGCCACAGTTGTCTACCCACACATAATTAAAAGGCGGTCTGTTAAATAAGATCTAGCTGCATGTTATTTTAATAGCCCTATTTGTAAGGAAGTACAAGCTTTTCCAAGCCTGGAATTTATCTACAATAAATGAAGAAAGATGAAAATTAGGGCAGAGGGAGATACATGTTATCTTAGTAGTACTTTCGCTCTGTGGAAGCAGCAAGGTCTATAAGCTTAACTCTGCTAATTGTCACTAGATTTCACATTAAATACACTTTACTTGATTGATTTATACGATGAGTTGAAATAAAAAGTTGGATTGGTCCATTCCCAGCCACAGGGTGGATTGCTTCAGTAACTGCACAGAGTATATAAATGGCTTTTTATTGCCTTTTTCCAAGAAGAAAGAAACCAGCAAAATACAGTATCTTTGCAATGTGGCATAAAAGCTTATAAGAACTGAGCTCATCACTAAATGACAGCACCACCAAAATACCAAAAACGTTAAAACACATCCTTATCCACATGGGACCTGCTCAAAAGACAGAGAAGTAGGTCACTGACTAGACTGTTTTGGCTGCTTGTGGTTGATCTGGGGATGTAAAATATCGCTGTGTTTTTGCATATCAGCTGTGGGCTGAGGCTGATGGGGTGAAGGCTCGCTCTTTGCAGACAAAAGATGTATTGATTAAATCAGAAGTTCTGTCAGTCAGCTCTCTCTAACACAAAAAACGAGTATGTACATAACTATGCTCCCATGTGACCTTTAAACATGGACGTAAAGAGAAGTACCGGCAACAAAGCTATGAAAGACAAAAAGAAATGTGGGAAATATGCCAGTCAAACAGCCAGGGCTGCAACGAGTGTCATAGTCAAACAGCCACTTGACATGACATATATATTGTTTAGGCCCGGAAGCTAGAAGTCCAATGAATAGAGATCACACTGTGTCCTTTACATTAATCTCTACAAGCTCTCAGTGGGGGTCATCAGGGATGAGGTCAAGTGAAAAAGCAATAAGTTCAATAGGGCTACAGAACAAATGGATTAAAATCCTCCCCATGTGACCCCATTTCTTCATCTCACCATGGGGAATACTTATTTTGTTTGCTCCTTATAGATGTGTTTAACCTATATTATTTCATAAAAAGCAATATTGTGTAAACACCGTCGTACAGTTCATCGTGATATTGATACATCTTTTATTTAGTTGTGTTTTTTTATGTATTTTTCCAAAATTTATAACAGAATATTCTTGATTTATTTTTGGTCCTGAGCCTCTTGAAAACAACAGTGTTGTAGTGTGAAGGCAGGTGTTGTTGGTCACACTGGTTGCCATGCTGCCCGCTGGTCCTGAGTCACCAGTAACAGCTGAATGCCCGCACTGTTAAATGTCCAGGAGAGCTGGAGGCTAACAACAATACAGCGCTGTCCACAGGCCGAGCCGGCTGACCTGACACTGAGTCTTTCTGGTGATAAGTGCCTCTGTTTATATGTGTGCACAACAGTATATGTCTGCGTGCATGCCAGCGTGTCTGAGTGTGCGCACCACAGCAGCCAACCAGCCTGACAACCACACAATAGAGGGTTATTCTCCGTGGCAGCTCTGAATTCTGGCTAGCAGCCTCGGTGGCCAAGCGGGCCCTAGCCCACACTGATCCATCACGTTATGTCTCAGTGAAGCTAATCTTTTGATCTGAGAACAAACAGCTTCGTCATTAAATATGGAGGAATGAACTCAAGCATTCAATGGTAAACAATGACCCTTACCAAAACCAAAAAATGTGAGGCACCGAAGGATCGGAATATCTCCCTGTGTGTATAAACAAATGTGTTTGCATATGCTTGCACATACATTTGTCTGTGCATGTTTGTAGTTTTTTTTATTCACAGACAGATACTCCATTCCCCCTCTCTGTTTGAGCTTTGAGTGCCTCCATAAAGGAAAAATGGGAGGATCCAAAGGTCAATATCTGGCCTGCCGCCTGGGGAATAACACAGGGGTTAGTGGTATGCAGGGAAAGAGAGTAATGGAAGGATGTATGCCAAATTGCACAGTCACATGGGACAAGCTGTAGCTTATAGTATATTTACAGCTGAGTGCGAAACACTTCATATGCCCCCCCAGCGCTGACTACAGGCTTTACCATGTAATTGAGCTGTAAAGAAAAGGGAAAGGGGTATATCTCCAAACAAGCACCTGAGGGAAGAGGGTGCGATGGGGTGGAGTAAATAAAAACTGAGAACGAATGTGTCAAAGAGGGAGATGAACCAAAGCAGAAGAGGGAGGGGTGAATCAAAGAAGAGGCATTTCTCATCTCATGATGGTTAAAACATCATCAGGGGCTCAGCTGGAGGACTTTTTCTTCCCTTAGCCAGCATTCACCTTCATCAAAACCCACCGCCTTTGTTGCTTCCCATCCCTCCACTCTAACCTCTTCACCTTCGTCTCAACCCTCACATGGCTCTGTCCACACATGCTAAACATTCTGGTCATCTCTTGACCTCTCTTTTTAATTACCTGCAGCAGTTCTTGCTGAAGGGAAAAACACAGAAAGAATGATATCATGTCTAATGACCACACTTTTAGGGGTACGCTGGTCTTGTGACACTAGTCTCCTTCCATCTGAAGTGACACGATTTCATTTCCCAGAGACCAGAAGCATTTTTATCTGGCACAACATCCAATGTTGTTACCGTAAACATTCCTCTCACCCGGCACCAAATCCAATTTTCGAAAGAGAGACGGTCAATCTCGTGACACTCTGAGGAGTGACAGCAAGAGAGCCTGCTATCCTCTGCTTTGTCTTATTGACTTTAACTGACTGATGGCTATTGAATATAATTGACTGATGGCAATTGAGTGGAGCTGTTCCTCCAATGAGGCCCATTAGAGAATTACCTAGCATATGCCCAGACGGAGCTCTTCAATCAGGAGGGAAATACTGAAACACAGCACATTCCTCTACAAGCTAGCACAAACACATTAAGGATAGATAATGAAGCTCTGAGTGAGGATGCTGACATTAGCTTTACTTAGGGTGTGAGGCTTACTTTAATAAGACTAGTAAAAAATTCACATTTATACATATACACCGTCACACACACACACACACACACAATTTCTCAAGCAGAAAGCCAGACAGGGTTGTCAAGTCTTGCTCTCAACTATCTCTCTGGGTATCATGCGTACACACACACACACACACACACACACACACACACACACACACACACACACACACACACACACACACACACACACACACACACACACACACACACACACACACACAAACACAGACACAGACACACAGGCACAGACACACACTCCCACACACAGTAGTAGCAGAAACAACAGCAGCGAGGGCTTGACAATCACACAGTGATAGTTTCAGTGTCTAGAGCCCTGCATCAGTGTGTGTTTTCCTCTCCTGCTGGCTGCCTATTAAAAAACAGAACCCACAGGCAGAGTCTGTGTGTGTGTGTGTGTGTGTGTGTGTGTGTGTGTGTGTGTGTGTGTGTGTGTGTGTGTGTGTATGTAGCTCTGAGGGCAGACCGTCTATGTGCCTGCATGGTTATGAGTCTCCCACAGTAAGCAGCACTAAGGATAGGTGAAAATTTAATATTATAATATATCATCCCTATATCATTAGATAGTTTCAAATTATATTAACGATATTGAGACATCATGTTATTTTCATTATTGGTTAATCTGACAGTTACACTCTCCATTAATGGATTAATTGTTTTTTTATATATAAAACGTAAAAAAAAAAAAAAAAAAAGTAAATAACTCATAATCTCCTACAGCCCAAAGTGAAGAATTCAAATTGCTTGTTATGTACGACGAAAACTCAGAGATATTTAACTTATTATCATAGAGGAAAACCAGCAAATCTGCACACCTGGGAAGGTGGAAACAAATAATTTGGGGCATTTATGTTTAAAAAATTACTTCAAGAATTAATTGACTGTCAAAATACACTGATTTACATACATACATCAATAAACATGAATATTGAGAGAATACTGCGATGATTAGTGAAATGTTAATCCTGTCCACATTGGCCACAGCTAATAAAAAAAAAATCTTCTTTACCCTGAAATAAAACCCCTCATGTCTTTGCCACATGGCCATCCTCTCCTCTTAAGTGACAAACAGCCAGAGAGGTAGGCCCCACCCACCCTTAATGTCAGTTCCTGTGCCAGACTGACCCACAACGTGCCAACACTGCTACCAAGCCAGCAACCAAGCCGTCTGCCCTTCAGCCACAGCTAAATATTTAGGCAGGGCAGCATTTTCTCTCTTGGCTTGTGTGCTGAATCCAACAAAAGCAGATGTAGCCAGCTGTCACTTAGCATTAGCTCTCCGGCATACAACTGCTGGTTTTACACATTTGAATTAAGCTGAAATCTTTTCCAGTGCAAATTTGCAGAGAGC